GTCTTTTATTTGTGTTGTTGTTCTATTGTTGTTTTAGCCTATCGTTTTAGGGATTTCCATTGTGTCTATTGTAGAGCTTGATTTTGGAGAGTCATTGTGTTAAAGCTAGTAAGGCTTCCACTCTCTGCCAAGTAATGTGTGGGTGGGAGGGTGGGTGAATACATTTAAAGTTGCAACTAATACTCAAGTCTCACTTCATTTTTACTTTTTATCATACTCTCTCCAATTGGCCATATATGTACAGAGAACTTATCTCAAACTTTCTATGACTCTCTCCTTTCTAGGAGCTTTCTTTTTTTGTTTTTGTTGTTGCTGTTGTTGTTGTTGTTGTTGTTTTTAGTAATCAGGTTTTTAATTTATTATAGTAAAAGGATACAAAGCAAAGTTAGCAAAGGAAAAAAGGTGTCTGTGGTAAAGTCTGGAGGAAACCAGGCACAAGCTTCCCAGAGTCCTCTCCTGTGGAGTTACAAGGATGTGTTTATCTTCCTCAGCATGAAATTTTGACAACACATGTGCAATGTCATTCACCAGTACCAGAGTCTCATTAGAAACTCAGTACTCAGGATTTTTCAGAGGTTACTCTCATTCACATGTGCCAGAATTCCAGACTCCCAGAAGAAAAGCAGCTGTTCAGAGTAAACCATATTGTTGGTATAAATAGTTTAGGCACAGTGAGCTACTTTTCTCAGTGAAAGAATTGGAACTTGTAATTGGGAAACTCTAGACTTGCATGTGGGTCTTCTTTCTTTTTTTTTTTTTTTTCTAATTTTACTTTGAGTTCCAGGATACATGTACAGAACATGCAGGTTTGTTACATATATATACATGTGCCATGGTGGTTTGCTGCACCGACTAACCTACAGGATCTCTCATTCAAATTTTTGTCGTCTTCCTCTTGCCCTAACTGAGACTGCAACCTCAGACTAGCAAACCTGCAATTCTCTCTGTTCATTCCCGAACCACTCTGCTATATTTAACTGCCAAAACCACTGATTTCTTCCCTCTGCTCCATACCAAATCCACCCCTGCCCCAGCCCTAATAGAAAAGCTGCTGGTTTTTACTTCATACTGGTAAAGCTAGTTTTCCCCAAATGAGCTTGGGGATGAGAAGAGGGATGGGAGTGTATTAGTCTGTTTTCATGCTGCTGATAAGGACATACCCAAGGCTGGGAAGAAAAAGAGGTTTAATAGGACTTACAGTTTCAGATGGCTGGGGAGGCCTCAGAATCATGGCAGAAGGTGAAAGGCACTTCTTACATGGCAGTGGTAAGAGAAAATGAAGAATATTCAAAAGTGGAAACCCCTGATAAAGTCATCAGATCTTATAAGACTTAATCACTACCATGAGAACAGTATGGAGGAAAACCACCTTCATGATTCAGTTATCTCCCACCAGGTTCTTCCCACAATATGTAGGAATTTTAGGAGTACAATTCAGGATGAGACTTGGGTGGGGACCCAGAGCCAAACCATATCAGGGAGCAACCCCAGTCAGGAAGGGCTCAGACTTTTACCAATCCTACCTGAAACTCTAACACTTTTTCAAGAATAAATGCTTCTTAATTTGATAACTGCCTTTGATGAGACTTAGGGTCCTGAAATGATTGTTTTTTGGTATTTTGTGCAACTTTAGGGGGGAGTTTTGGTGTGGAAATAAATCGCCAACCTTATGTCACCTTCCAACCTTATCTTTGTTCCTCATGTCTCTTCCCAATCTTATCTTTGTATCCTCTGATTAACAATTTTCATTAGTAATGTGTTACACAACCAATACTTGTTTAAACTAACCTACATTTTACCAGTTTCTTTGCACATTGTTCCTTCTGTTTTGGTTCTATGTCATATTTCTAAAGCATATCTTTCAGTAGATTTTTTTCCCCAGTAAAAAAAAGGCATGTGTTCTTAAGTGTATTTGTTTGACAATATATATCATTTGTCTTTAGTTTGAGTGACAGTTAACTGGCTACAGAATTCCATATTGAATAGATTTTTTTATCTCTGTACTTTGAAGACTTTAATTATCTTCCATCTTCTATTGTTGCTATTAAGATTTGAGAATCTGCTTTATTGTTTATTTCGTTATGATTAATCTTTCTCCATCTAGATTGCTTAAGATTTTATTTTTGTCTTTGGTAGTCTATAGTTTCTCAACATTTTATCTAATTATCTATTTTTACTTAATCCTAATTAGAACTCATTTGACTTACTGTGTCCAAATCAATAAAAGCCATAATTAATTCTGTAAAATTTGAAGCCAGTTTTCTTCTCAAATATTATGTCTTCTTCATTTTTTCAATTATGTTTCTGAAACTCATATTAGTTGTTTTAGATCTTTTTCATAATCTAAATCTCTCATTTTCCACCTTGTTTTTTTTTTTATGCTATACTCTGAAGTAATTTGTATCACTTTGCTATGTTTCTCTCTTCAGCCATGTGTACCCTGCTATTTGGGGTACTTGGTTTTTTTTTTAGTTCAATAACTTTTTTTTTTTTTTTTTGAGTCAAAGTTTCACTGTTGTTACCCAGGCTGGAGTGCAATGGCACGATTGCAACCTCTGCCTCCTGGGTTCAGGCAATTCTGCTGCCTCAGCCTCCTGAGTAGCTGGGATTGGGCAGGCACCACCATGCCCAGCTAATTTTTTGTATTTTTAGTAGAGACGGGGTTTCACCATGTTGACCAGGATGGTCTCAAGCTGTTGACCTCGTGATCCACATGCCTCGGCCTCCCAAAGTGCGGGATAGTTCAGTAACTTTTAAAGTTTCTTTCTAATGTATTATATTTAATTATTTGACAATACTTTCAAGTAATATTTTCTTCTCATGTCTCCAATTTTTAAAAATTGTCTCTCATCCCTTTGAAAATATGTATTTTATAGTGTCTATCTAGCGGTTTTATTAGCTGAGGTTTTTAGACATCTAATCCCATTCTTTGTTGTATCTGTTAACTTTTACTCATGGAATATTTCTTCTTATTTTAAGTTCAGATTCACTTGGCTTTACCTTTGAGACTTTATGCAGTCTGGCATCAGGAGTGTCTATTAGATATTTTTTGAATTAGCATCTACTAAGTGTTCTAGGGATACTTCTATGCAGGGACATTTTTATGGTAGTAGGTTTAGGACTTTGGGATCCCTAACCTGTGCACATAATATACATTTAAGCCCTAAACACAAGTTGGATGAAGCCAGTTTTACATATAAATTCTCAAAAAAGACTTTGCCACCCAGAGACCAGCTAAGGCAAACTGCTTTGTCTTCTCAGTTTGTCAGTAGGATGACATTTTCTGGTTCATACTTTTTTTGACGGAGTTTCACTCTTGTTGCCCAGGCTAGAGTGCAGTGGTGCCATCTTGGCTCACTGCAACCTCCAATTCCTGGATTCAAGTGATTCTCCTGCCTCAGCCTCCCAAGTAGCTGGGATTACAAGCGTGTTCCAAGACACCTGGCTAATTTTTTGTATTTTTAGTAGAGACAGGGTTTTGCCACATTGCAGCCTCGCCTGGAACTCCTGACTTTAGGTGATCCACCCGCTTCAGCCTCCCAAAGTGCTGGGATTACAAGAGTGAGCCAACGTGCCTGGAATGGTTCATTCTTTTAGCAAGAGTTTAGCCTTCCAAAGCTTCCAGTTTTGCAGGATGACAATAATCAGAGGGGAGGGGGAAAGTTTGTTCTAACTTTCTGCCTGGGGTGAGTCAAAATCTTCTTTTACTCTGGCAATTTCTATAAAGGCAAAAAGGGGTCATAGCTAAAAAATGCATGTAAGCTGTTCTAAGAACATTAAAAGCATTAGCAATTAGGATTCATAATAAATAAAGGTAGCCATTTAATTGGCATATGGAAATTTAACATGTTATTGTCTGTCCTTTACAGAAACCTATGGATTCCTCTGTGAGTAGCACCTAGTTGCAAGAAGCAAGATGTCTAATAACTTATACCTACAAATCTTATCTACTTCTACTTCCTACACATGATCTAAGATACTTTATATTTATTCCCTTCTCAGTTCATTTATTCCAGCCACTACCTCCTCTAATACATTTATGTCAAGTATCGATTGACTTATCCTTTCAATACAAAGATTAAGTATGTTCCTGTTAAATGATTTGGCACTCTGACACTGTAATCTTCAATAAGGTTATGAATTCTTATCACAGCCAGTCATCCTCTTATTTTCCATCCTGATGGAAAAGCTATCTTAAAATGTAAAATGAAGTAAATCTCATCATATGGGCATGTTTTTAACTGTCGTATATTATAATGGTTAGCATTTTCAAGAGTTCATATATAGGTTTTATTTATATATTTATTTATTTATTTATTTATTTATTTATTTATTTATTTATTTATTTTTGAGATTGAGTCTCACTTTGTCACCCAGGCTGGAATGCAGTGGCACGATCTTGGCTCACTGCAACCTCTGCCTCCCAGGTTCAAGTGATTCTCCTGCCTCAGCCTCCCAAGTAGCTGGGATTACAAGCATGCACCACCTCACCTGGTTTATTTTTGTATTTTTAGAAGAGATGGGGTTTCACTATGTTGGCGAGGCTGGTTTCAAACTCCTGACCTCAGGTGATACTCCCACCTCGGCCTCCCAAAGTGCTGGGATTAAAGGCATGAGCCACTGCACCTGGCCCACATATAGGTTTTAAATATTTTTAAAATAAAAGCACTTTATTTAAAACCTTTCTCACAAATTGACAGGTTATTTGGAATATATATATCATTTCTTCTTAAATATATGTATCGTTTCTTCTTAAATGATGTATCATTTCTTTTTAAAATAAACACACTTTGTTTAAAACCTGTCTCATAAATTGACAGGTTATTTGGAATATATGTTATTAAGCAGATATCTCTTTCACCAAACTAGTAAGCAATGTTGGTCTACACCTTGTATCATTTTATAGAACTGGCTATTAGTATATATGATAAAAGAGAATTGATCCTTTGTATACATCTATGTCATGTAGATATATAGCTGTAGTCTTTTTTGTATTTCAGGAGTTATACTCATTATGATTTGGTGTCTGACCTGGTCAATCTTAGGCTCTGAAGCTCTCCCTGGTGGAAATTTATTTGGATTGTTAATTATTTTTTATAGTGCCATTATCGGGGGAAAATTTTTAGAACTCATTAGAATACCTTTAGTGCCTCCACTTCCACCTCTTCTTGGTAAGTATATAATTAGCTCTCTTTTCTTTATTATTGACTATATGCACATTTTGAAAATTTGCTCGTTGAATTAGATATAATTCAGAAATATTTCAATGTAGTATGTTTTATATAGTTTCTTCATATATGTATTTACTGTATGTGTGTGTGTGTGTGTGCACAGCTCCTTTATCAATGTATTTATTTCTCTGTCTACATATATACACACACAGGTTTTATCCAAAATTTATTTTTAAAATAAACTCAATATCTTTAATATATTATTCCTGTTGCTATATTGTTTAATAGAATTTTAAATATTTTTAGATTCACAGGGTACATATGCAGGTTTGGTACATGGATATATTGCATAATGGTGAGGTTTGGACTCTAGTGAACCCATCACCGAATAGGGACTACTGTACCCAATAGGTAATTTTTCAGTCTCAACTTTTCAACCCGCCCTCCTGTTGGACTCCCCAATGTCTATTATTTCCATCTTTATATCCATGTGTACCCGTTGTTTAGCTCCCACTTCCAAGTGAGAACATGTGATATTGAATTTTTCTGTTTCTGAGTTATTTCACTTAGGATAATGGTCTTCAGCTCTATCCATGTTGCTGCAAAGGACCTAATGTTATTCTTTTTTAAGACTTCATGGTATTCCATGATGTATATGTACTGTGTTTTCTTTATTTAGTCATTTAGGTTGATTCCATGGCTTTGTTATTATGAGTAGTGGTACAATGAACATATGCGTGTATGTGTCTTTATGGTAGAATGATTCATATGTTGAACCATCCTTGTATTTCTGGGGTAAAACTCACTTAACTGTAATGTATTATCTTTTTGATGTACTGCTAAATTCAGTTTGCTAGTTGAGAATTTTTGCATCTACGTTCATGAGGGATATTGGACAGTAGTGTGTGTGTGTGTGTGTGTGTGTGTGTGTGTGTGGTTTTGCCTGATTTTGATGGTGGTAATACTGGATTCACAGAATGTGTTAGAGAGGAATTCCTCTTCCTTGATTTCTTGGAATAAGTTTCAGTCATCTGTGAACCTGAACTAGAATAAGTGGATTGTATAATGAATAAATGAATACCTACAATACAAATACATGACAATAAACAATGTGATATGAAAGCTGTCTGCCAGCCTACAATATTTGTGATTGTTTTTGAACTGCATGATGGGAGGAGGTGCTCCTTACAATTTTCACTTTGTAAACATTTATTCTTTGATGTTAACTGTCACTGCTATAACCATGATCACTCATGGATTCACCAAAAATTTGGTAAGTAATTATCTTACTTGTTTTTATAAATCTTTCTAAAATGTATGTAGAGCTCACATTTATTTCATTGTGTAGTACTAGAAGTGTTTTGGATCTGTATTTAGAAATTTGGTGATGTTTTGTGACCAGAAATATGCTATAGGAAATTGTCTCTTGTTTGTATCAATTAGCCTATGATAAAGTTGGTTTTGTTTTACATCGTTTTACTCAAAGTTCCCATTTCCAATAACCTATAAATGATGTTAAGTGAGAACTTACTGTATTCAAACATATGTAAATATTCAGTACAGTGGGCCAGGCACAGTGGCTCACGCCCATAATCTCAGCACTTTGGGAGGCCAAGGCAGGAGGATCACCTGAGCCCAGGAGTTCAAAACCAGCCTGGGAAACATAGCAGAACTCGTCTTTACAAAAACTTAAAAATGTTTCTTGGTCTCAGCTACTCAGGAGGCTAAGGCAAGAGGATAACTTGAGCTCAGAGGGTTAAGCCTGCAGTGAGCCATGTTTGCATCACTGCACTCCAACTTGGACATCAGAATGAGACCTTGTCCCCAAAAATATATATATATTCAGAACACTGTCAGTAGAGATAATCTATGTATCTTATCTCTGCTGTCCTTTCTGTATCCACAGTGTTCTTGCAGCAGCTTCTAAGTATTTATTGAATCATTTTTTCCTCTCCAGACTTTCCCTTTTGCTCTGGCTTAGGCTATTTGTTTCCAACTTTTGCATGGACTGTGATAGAGTCTTCAAATTAATCTCTGTCTCCAGTTTTATCCCTAAGTAATTCACCAAGTCCCTCACATAAAAAAAGCGCAACACTCATTGTGTTACTTTCTGCCTAAAACCTTCCCATGATGCCTTATTTTGCCAAAGCTAGGGGAGATTCTATGATCCAGCCCTCCAAGTTCATTCTCCTCCCTCCTTTCCTTGCCCTGTATGTTCCACCAACACTAAATTACTTGTTGAACCCCATTTAGATGTATTGTTTCTTACTGCCATTCCTTCATTCATGCTGCCTTCTCTATTTGCTTGTAACCTGCCCTTTACCAAAATAATGAGAGACATAGTGTATTAGGAAATAAATTAAACATTTCTGTTTTCTTTCTCAGAAAAATGAACTCAATCATGTATCTTTATTGTCTTTCTTTTAAGGGATGTTGCTGGCTGGTTTTATGATTAGGAATGTTCCATTCATCAGTAAACATATCCATGTCGATAGCACGTTGTCTTCAGTTATAAGAAACATTGCCCTTACTGTTATTCTAATACGAGCTGGGCTTGGACTTGATCCACAGGTAAATTTACAATTATAAATTGAGTAAGGTTATTTCAAAATTTTGAGGATGGTGGGAAAGAAAAAGTGGCAAAAATTTTATTTGCCTGTTCCAATTGGAGGCTGTAAACAAACCTAAGATAAAGAAAAAAAGGAAGAGTGAGGTGGCTCCTGCCTGTAATCTACAAAAGTTAGCCAGGTGTGGTGGTGTGCACCTGTAATCCCAGCTACTTGGGAGGCTGAGGCAAAAGAATTGCTTGAACCTGGGTGACAGAGGTTGCAGTGAGCTGAGATAGTGCTACTGCACTCCAGCCTGAATGACAGAGCAAGAGACTCCATCTCCAAAAAGAAAAAAAGGAGAAAAAGACTGTAGAAATAATGGCACTTTACGTTCTATTTTTAGCCACTATTATCACTGATAGGAAGAGAACTGAACTGACTGTGTCGTAAAGTCTTTATTAGAGATCTCCTTTAATTATTTGCACAGAGATAAATGTCTCTTATGTAGCCACTATATTATTTGGGAAGCTCTTCTATGGAGAACTATGTACTTTTCAGTTAACAGAGGATAAGAAAAATCTTATAGAAGTCTTTTTCTTTTTTTAGGGAAAGTAAAGATTTCAGTAATTTTTTTTCATGACATTTTCTCCACAGAATTATGTTCCTGATTATCTTTGCATTATTGTAAAATCTAATCTTTTAAAGTATTTCTTAAAATATTACAATCTAGGGATCATAAATCCCATCTTTAAGAAGATGACTATTCATCAATATGATAGTTAATCAAATAAATGTGCCAAATGTGCTTTAATAGAAATATCTCAAGAGCATAAACAATTATAGCCAACAAGATTATATTTTCCAGTAGAAAGTATGAAGCAAGGAGAAAATTGAAAAATTCTCTCTTTTAAAATTAATTTCACAGTTTTTATGTGATTTTCTTTGGCATGTTGGGATTCTATTTATAATTATTAAGTTAATCAAGTAGTTCATCTCTAAAAATTACCTGATGGGAAAACACTAATAGGTCACTATCATTATACTATTTATTAAGAAAGTTAAGGAAGGTACCAATAGCTATTTAATCACAATAAAATTGATCTTTTAATTAAAATACAATAATATTTTATAAAAGATGAAATTGTTTATAATCCAATCTATGATGACATATAAAATGTAATTTTTTTATGTTCCAAGTCTAATGGGACCATCTGTTGAAATGAGATTTCGTTTAGTGAAAGCTTCTCATGAAACAAACTTTATATTTTGATATTTGTTTACATAATTTTCTTGTTGGCCATTGTAAATGTATCTAAGTGTGACTGTTTTCTATTTCAGGCTTTGAAGCATTTGAAGGAGGTTTGTTTCAGATTGGCAGCAGGTCCATGCCTTATAGAGGCAAGTGCAGCTGCTGTTTTTTCCCACTTCATTATGAAATTTCCCTGGCAATGGGCATTTCTATTAGGGTAATTTCTTTCTCATTTTTTAAATGAAAATATTCAATTAAGGATGCTTGGTTAAAATTGTTGAAATATTCATGATGTTGTATAGAAAATCTCTATTAAAATTCTTTTCACAGTGTTGAAAACCTTGGAAATCAGTTGATTAAAAGCAGAGCCATGTCCCAAATTGTAGCAAATTTTTAACAAACATTTATATCCTCTAAATGTATATCATCAAGAATATTCACATGATCAATTTATTCCTTTTCATCTGTATTATAACATATCTGTATGTTTTAATCTATCTAATGGCCTCTTCCTCATAACTATATGTAAATACAGTTGCACATTTCATATATGTGTATGTATATGTATATATATTTGAGAAACATTTTTTTTTTTAATTTTTTATTGGATTATAGGTTTTGGGGTACATGAGCAGAGCATGCAAGACAGTTGCGTAGGTACACACATGGCAGTGTGCTTTGCTTTTCTTCTCCCCTTCACCCACATTTGGCATTTCTCCCCAGGCTATCCCTCCCCACCTCCCCCTCCCACTGGCCCTCCCCTTTTCCCCCCAATAGACCCCAGTGTTTAGTACTCCCCTTTCTTTGTCCATGTGTTCTCATTTTTCATCACCCACCTATGAGTGAGAATATGCGGTGTTTCATTTTCTGTTCTTGTGTCAGTTTGCTGAGGATGATGTTTTCCAGATTCATCCATGTCCCTACAAACGACACGAACTCATCATTTCTGATTGCTGCATAATATTCCATGGTGTATATGTGCCACATTTTTCCAATCCAGTCTATTATCAATGGGCATTTGGGGTGATTCCAGGTCTTTGCTATTGTAAACAGTGCTGCAATGAACATTCGTGTACATGTGTCCTTATAGTAGAACGATTTATAGTCTTTTGGATATATACCCAGTAATGGGATTGCTGGGTCAAATGGAATTTCTATTTCTAAGGCCTTGAGGAATCGCCACACTGTCTTCCACAATGGTTGAACTAATTTACACTCCCACCAACATTGTAAAAGTGTTCCTTTTTCTCCACATCCTCTCCAGCATCTGTTGTCTCCAGATTTTTTAATGATCGCCATTCTAACTGGCGTGAGATGGTATCTCAATGTGGTTTTGATTTGCATCTCTCTGATGACCAGTGACGATGAGCATTTTTTCATATGATTGTTGGCCTCATATATGTCTTCTTTCGTAAAGTATCTGTTCATATCCTTTGCCCACTTTTGAATGGGCTTGTTTGTTTTTTACCTGTAAATCTGCTTGAGTTGTTTGTAAATTCTGGATATCAGCCCTTTGTCAGATGGGTAGACTGCGAAAATTTTTTCCCATTCTGTTGGTTGCCGATCCACTCTAGTGCCTGTTTCTTTTGCTGTGCAGAAGCTGTGGAGTTTCATTAGGTCCCATTTGTCTATTTTGGCTTTTGTTGCCAATGCTCTTGGTGTTTTGTTCATGAAGTCCTTGCCTACTCCTATGTCCTGGATAGTTTTGCCTAGATTTCCTTCTAGGGTTTTTATGGTGCCAGGTCTTATGTTTAAGTCTTTAATCCATCTGGAGTTAATTTTAGTGTAAGGTGTCAGGAAGGGGTCCAGTTTCTGCTTTCTGCACATGGCTAGCCAGTTTTCCCAACACCATTTGTTAAACATGGAATCCTTTCCCCATTGCTTGTTTTTGTCAGGTTTATCAAAGATTGTATAGTTGTATGTATGTTGTGTTGCCTCCGGTGCCTCTGTTTTGTTCCATTGGTCTATATCTCTGTTTTGGTACCAGTACCATGCTGTTTTGATTACTGTAGCCTTGTAGTATAGTTTGAAATCTGGTAGTGTGATGCCCCCCGCTGTGTTCTTTTTGCTTAGAATTGACTTGGCTATGCGGGCTCTCTTTTGGTTCCATATGAAGTTCATGGTGGTTTTTTCCAGTTCTGTGAAGAAAGTCAATGGTAGCTTGATGGGGATAGCGTTGATTCTGTAAATTACTTTGGGCAGTATAGCCATTTTCACGATATTAATTCTTCCTAACCATGAACATGGAATGTTTCTCCATCTGTTTGTGTCCTCTCTGATTTCATTGAGCAGTGGTTTGTAGTTCTCCTTGAAGAGGTCCCTTACGTTCCTTGTGAGTTGTATTCCAAGGTATTTTATTCTTTTTGTAGCAATTGCGAATGGCAGTTCGCTCTTGATTTGGCTTTCTTTAAGTCTGTTATTGGTGTAGACGAATGCTTGTGATTTTTGCACATTGATTTTATATCCTGAGACTTTGCTGAAGTTGTTTATCAGTTTCAGGAGTTTTTGGGCTGAGGCGATGGGGTCTTCTAGGTATACTATCATGTCGTCTGCAAATAGAGACAATTTGGCTTCCACCTTTCCTATTTGAATACCCTTTATTTCTTTTTCTTGCCTGATTGCTCTGGCTAGAACTTCCAGTACTATATTGAATAGGAGTGGTGAGAGAGGGCATCCTTGTCTAGTACCAGATTTCAAAGGGAATGCTTCCAGTTTTTGCCCATTCAGTATGATATTGGCTGTTGGTTTGTCATAAATAGCTTTTATTACTTTGAGATACGTTCCATCGATACCGAGTTTATTGAGGGTTTTTAGCATAAAGGGCTGTTGAATTTTGTCAAATGCCTTCTCTGCGTCAATTGAGATAATCATGTGGTTTTTGTTTTTGGTTCTGTTTATGTGGTGAATTACGTTGATAGACTTGCGTATGTTGAACCAGCCTTGCATCCCTGGGATGAATCCTACTTGATCATGATGAATAAGTTTTTTGATTTGCTGTTGCAATCGGCTTGCCAATATTTTATTGAAGATTTTTGCATCTATGTTCATCATGGATATTGGCCTGAAGTTTTCTTTTCTCGTTGGGTCTCTGCCGGGTTTTGGTGTCAGGATGATGTTGGTCTCATAAAATGATTTGGGAAGGATTCCCTCTTTTTGGATTGTTTGAAATAGTTTTAGAAGGAATGGTACCAGCTCCTCCTTGTGTGTCTGGTAGAATTCGGCTGTGAACCCATCTGGGCCTGGGCTTTTTTTGTGAGGTAGGCTCTTAATTGCTGCCTCAACTTCAGACCTTGTTATTGGTCTATTCATAGTTTCAGCTTCCTCCTGGTTTAGGCTTGGGAGGACACAGGAGTCCAGGAATTTATCCATTTCTTCCAGGTTTACTAGTTTATGTGCATAGAGTTGTTTGTAATATTCTCTCATGATGGTTTGAATTTCTGTGGAATCTGTGGTGATTTCCCCTTTATCATTTTTTATTGCATCTATTTGGTTGTTCTCTCTTTTCTTTTTAATCAATCTGGCTAGTGGTCTGTCTATTTTGTTGATCTTTTCAAAAAACCAGCTCTTGGATTTATTGATTTTTTGAAGGGTTTTTCGTGTCTCAATCTCCTTCAGCTCAGCTCTGATCTTAGTAATTTCTTGTCTTCTGCTGGGTTTTGAGTTTTGTTGATCTTGCTCCTCTAGCTCTTTCAATTTTGACGATAGGGTGTCAATTTTGGATCTCTCCATTCTCCTCATATGGGCACTTATTGCTATATACTTTCCTCTAGAGACTGCTTTAAATGTGTCCCAGAGGTTCTGGCACGTTGTGTCTTCATTCTCATTGGTTTTGAAGAACTTCTTTATTTCTGCCTTCATTTCGTTGTTTACCCAGTCAACATTCAAGAGCCAGTTGTTCAGTTTCCATGAAGCTGTGCGGTTCTGGGTCGGTTTCTGAATTCTGAGTTCTAACTTGATTGCACTATGGTCTGAGAGGCTGTTTGTTATGATTTCAGTTGTTTTGCATTTGTTGAGCAGTGCTTTACTTCCAATTATGTGGTCAATTTTAGAGTAGGTGTGATGTGGTGCTGAGAAGAATGTGTATTCTGTGGATTTGGGGTGGAGAGTTCTGTAAATGTCCACCAGGTTTGCTTGCTCCAGGTCTGAGTTCAAGCCCTGGGTATCCTTGTTGATTTTCTGTCTGGTTGATCTGTCTAGTATTGACAGTGGAGTGTTAAAGTCTCCCACTATTATTGTGTGGGAGTCTAAGTCCTTCTGTAAGTCATTAAGAACTTGCCTTATGTATCTGGGTGCTCCTGTGTTGGGTCCATATATGTTTAGGATCGTTAGCTCTTCTTGTTGTATCGATCCTTTTACCATTATGTAATGGCCTTCTTTGTCTCTTTTGATCTTTGTTGCTTTAAAGTCTATTTTATCAGAGATGAGAATTGCAACTCCTGCTTTTTTTTGCTTTCCATTAGCTTGGTAAATCTTCCTCCATCCCTTTATTTTGAGCCTTTGTGTATCCTTGCATGTGAGATGGGTTTCCTGGATACAGCACACTGATGGGTTTTGGATTTTTATCCAATTAGCCAGTCTGTGTCTTTTGATTGTGCATTTAGTCCATTTACATTTAGGGTTAATATTGTTATGTGTGAATTTGATACTGCCATTTTGATTCTAAGTGGCTGTTTTGCCTGTTAGTTGTTGTAGATTCTTCATTATGTTGAAGCTCTTTAGCATTCAGTGTGATTTTGGAATGGTTGGTACTGATTGATCCTTTCTATGTGTAGTGCCTCTTTTAGGAGCTCTTGTAAAGCAGGCCTGGTGGTGACAAAATCTCTGAGTACTTGCTTGTTCGCAAAGGATTTTATTCTTCCTTCACTTCTGAAGCTCAGTTTGGCTGGATATGAAATTCTGGGTTGAAAGTTCTTTTCTTTAAGAATGTTGAATATTGGCCCCCACTCTCTTCTGGCTTGTAGTGTTTCTGCCGAGAGATGAGAAACATTTTATATAGACACAGGTGTATAAATATGAACTTTCTCATTTTAAAGAAAACAAGGAAACAAAAACTCTTGCCATATATCCAATGCCCCATCTATCTTTATCTACCATCCATTTGCCTTACGTTTGAATTCCTCAAAATAAGTCTGTAATTACTGTCTCTAGATCCTAAATCCTTTTTCATTTTTCAATTCATTAACTTTTGTCTCCACTTATCCATTCCAATGACACTCATAGCAAAGTTCATCCATGACATAGTTCCTAGGAAATCCAGTGAATTTTTAAATTAATGTTTACAATAAAATACCTAAATACACTTTTCTTTTAAAAATTAGAACTTTATAAGCAAAGGAGAAATGACTTTGACTATGCCTTCAAATCATAATACCCATACCTCTACCCAAAGTGACGACTCTTAGGAGCTTTATCCTTCTTCAATTTTTATTTTAGGCTCAGGGGTACATGAACAGGTTTGTTATATGGATAAATTGCATGTCACAGGGGTTTGCTGTGCAGATTGTTTTGTCACCCAGGTAATAATACCCAATAGGTAGTTTTTCTATCCTCACCCTCCTTCCACCCTCCACCCTCAAATTCACCTAGTGACAATTGTTCCCTTCTTTCTGTCCATGTGTACTCTCAGTGTTTAGCTCCTGCTTATAAGTGAGAATATAGGATATTTGGTTTCCTGCTCTTGCATTAATTCACTTAGGATAATGGCCTCACTCCATCCATGTTGCTGCAAAGGACATGATCTCATTCTTTCTTATGGCTATGTATTATTCTGTGGTGTATATGTGCCACATTTTATTTATCCAGTTCACCATTTATGGGCATTTAGGTTGATTCCATGTCTTGCATTTTTTTTCAATAGTGTTTAAGGAACAGGTGGTGTTTGGTTACATAGAAAAGATTTTTGGTGTAATTTCTGAGAATCTGAGATTTAGTGCAGCCATCACCACAGCAGTGTACACTGCACCCAAGATGTAGTCTTTTATCCCTTACCCCCTCCTATCTTTCCCCCCAATTTCCCAAAGTTCATTCTATCATTATTATACTTTCGTATCCTCATAGCATAACTCCCACTTGTAAGTCCGAACATACAATGTTTGATTTTTCATCCCTGAATTACTTCACTTAGAATAATGGCCTCCGATTCCTTCCAGGTTGCTGCGAATGCCATTACTTCGCTCCTTTTTATGACTGAGTAGTGTTTCAACCATGGTATATGTATATATTAAGGAACAGGTGGTATATACATATACCATGGATGAAATATTATATATGTATGTGTATATATATAATATTTTCTGTATCCATTCATTGATTGATGGGCATTTGGGCTAGTTCCAAATTTTGCAATTGCAAATTTTGCTGCAATAAACGTGTGTGCAAGTGTTTTTTCATATGACTTCTTTTCTTCTGGGTAGATACCCAGTAAAGGGATTGCTGGATCAAATGGTAGATCTACTTTTAATTATTTAAGGAATCTCCATACTCTTTTCCATAGTGGTTGTACTAGTTTACATTCCCCCCAGCAGTGTAAAAGTGTTCCCTTTTTACCACATCATGGCAACATCTATTTTTTTTTTATTTTTTGATTATGGCTACTCTTGGAGGAATAAGATGGTATTGCATTGTGGTTTTGATTTGTATTTCCCTGATAATTAGTGATGTTAAGTATTTTTTCATGTTTCTTGGCCATTTGTATATCTTCTTTTGGGAATTGTCTTTTCATGTCCTTAGCCCAGTTTTTGATAGGATAATTTGTTTTCTTCTTGCTGATTGGTTTGAGTTCTTTATAGATTCTGGATATTAGTGCTTTATTGAATGCATAGTTTATAAAGATTTTCTCCCACTCTATAGGTTGTCTTTTTACTCTGTATTTCTTTTGCTGTGCAGAAGCTTTTTAGTTTAATTAAGTCCCGTCTATTTATCTTTGTTTTTGTTGCCTTTGCTTTTGGGTTCTTGGTCATGAAGTCTTCACCTAAGCCAGTGACTAGAAGGGTATTTCCAATGTTACCTTCTAGAATTTTTATGGTTTCAGGTCTTAAATTTGAGTCTTTGATCCATTGTGAGTTGATTTTTGTATAAGGTGAGAGATGAGGATCCAGTTTTATTCTTCTACCTGTGGCTTGCCAATTATCCTAGCACCACTTGTTGAATAGGGTGTCCTTTCCCTACTTTATGTTTTTGTTTCCTTTGTTAAAGATCAGTTAGCTTTAGTTCTTGGTTCTCTATTCTCTTTCATTGGTCTATGCGCCTATTTTTATACCAGTATTATGCTGCATTTGTGATTATAGCCTTATAGTATAGTTTGAAGTCAAGTAATGTGTTGCATCCACATTTGTTCTTTTCGCTTAGTCTTGCTTTGGATATACAGGCTATATTTGGGTTCCACATGAATTTTAGGATTACCTTTTTCAGTTTGGGGAAGAATGATGATGGAGATTGCTCTTGGTAGTATAGTCATTTTCACAATATTGATTCTACCTATCCATAAGCATGTGATGTGTTTCTATTTGTTTGTGTAATCTATGATTTCTTTCTTCAGCTTGTAAGTTTTCATTGTAGAGGTCTTCCACCTCCTTGGTTAGGTATATTCCTAAGTTTGTTTGTTTGGATTTTTTTTCTTTGTTTTTGTTTTGTTTCGCAACTGTTGTAAAAGAGGTTGAGATCTTGATTTAATTCTCAGCTCAGTCACCATCAGTGTATACCAGTGCTACTGATCTGTGTACATTGATTTTGTATCCTGAAACTTTACTGAATTCATTTATCAGATCTAGGAGCTTTTTGGATGAGTCTTCAGGCTTTTCTAGTTATGAAATTATATCATCATGAACAGCAGCAGTTTGACTTCCTCTTTACTGATTTGGATGCCTTTTATTTCTTTCTCTTGCCTGATTGCTCTGGCTAGGCCTTCTATGTTGAATAGAAGTGGTGAAAGTGGGCATGCTTGTCTTGTTCCAGTTCTTGGGGGGAATGCTTTCATCTTTTCCCCATTCAGTATAATGTTGGCTGTGGGTTTTTCATAGATAACTTTTATTACCTAACGTATGTCCCTTCTATGCCAACTTTGCTGAGAGTTTTAACCATAAAGGAATGCTAAATTTTGTCAAATGCTTTTTCTGCATCTGTTTGGTGATTATGTAATTTTTGTGTGCCTTTTGTTTGTCTTTCTTTTTTTCTTTTTTTTTTTTCTTTTTGATACAGAGTCTTGCTCTGTTGCCCAGGCTGGAGTACAGTGGCCCAATCTCACCTCACTGCAACCTCTACCTCCCAGGTTCAAGCAATTCTTATGTGCTTCAGCGGCCAAATGACCTAGGAGTAGCTCCCCAAGCTCGCCAGCATCTGTTACTTTTTGACTTTTTAATAATAGCCATTCTGCCTCCTGTGATATTGTATCTCATTGTAGTTTGTTTTGCATTTCTCTAATGATTAGTGATGTTGAGTATTTTTTCATATGCTTCTTGGCCACGTCTTTGTCTCCTTTTGAGAAGTGTCTGGTCCTGTCCTTTGCCTAGTTAATGGAGCTGTTAGGTTTTTTCTTGTAGAGTTTTCTAAGTTCTTTTTGGATTCTGGATGTTAGACTTTTGTTGAATGCATGGTTTGCAAATATTTTCTCCCATTCCGCAGGTTGTTTGCTGATTATTTCTTTTGCTGTGCAAAAGCTCTTTAATTAGGTCCCATTTGTCAATTTTTGTTGCAATTGCTTTTGGCATCTTCATCATGAAAAATTTTCCAGAACTGAAATTTTTCAGAATATGTCTAGAATGACCTGTGTCCAGAATGGTATTTCCTAGGATATCTTCCATGGTTTTTATAGTTTGGGTTTACATTTTAAGAATTTTTTTTGAGATGGAGTCTTGCTCTGTTGCTTGAACGTAGTGACCCAATCTCAGCCCACTGCAACCTCCACCTCCCAGGTTCAAATGATTCTCCTGTCTCAACCTCTCAAGTTGCTGTGACTACAGGCACACACCACCACACCCAGCTAATTTTTGTATTTTTAGTAGAGATGGGGTTTCACCATGTTGGCCAAAATGGTCTTGATCTCTTGACCTCATTATCCACTGCCTTGGCCTCCCAAAGTGCTGGGATTACAGGTGTGAGCCACCACACCCAGCCACATTTTAAGTCCTTTAATCCATCTTAAGTTGATTTTTGTAAACTGTGAAACGTATGGACACCAGTTTCAATTTTCTGCATATGGCTAGCGAGTTATCCGAGAACAATTTCTGAATAGGGATTCCTTTCCCCATTGCTTGTTTTTGTCGAGTTTGTTGAAGAGCAGATGGCTATAGGTGTGCAGCTTTATTTCTGAGTTCTGTAACCTGTTTCATAGCTCTGTGTCTGTTTTTGTTCCAGTACCATGCAGTTTTGGTTACTGTAGCATTGTAGTATAGTTCAGAGTTAGGCAGTGTGACATTTTAGGCTTTGTTCTTTTTTCTTAGGATTGCTTTGGCTATTTGGGCTCTTTTTTGACTTCAAGTGAATTTTAGAATGCTTTTTTTAATTCAGTGAAAAATGTCATTGGTAGTATGATAGGAGTAGCATTGACTCTGTAAATAGCCTTGGGCAGTATGGCCATTTTAACAATATTGCTTCTTCCTGTGATCATGGAATGTTTTCCTTTTGTTTCTGTTGTCTCTGATTTCTTTGAGCAATGGTTTGTAATTTTTCATTGTAGAGATCTTTCACCTCACTGCTTAGTTGTATTCCAAGATATTTTGTGGGTTTTTTTTTTTTTTTTTTGTGGCTATTGTGAATGGGATTGCATTCTTGATTTGGCTCTCAGCCTGGATGTTGTTGGTGTATAGGAATGCTACAGATTTTTGTACACTGATTTTTGTAACCTGAAACTTTGCTGAAGTCGTTTGTCAGATCTAGGAGCTTTTGAGAGGCTACTATGGGGTTTTCTTCGTATAAAGTATTTCATCTATGAAAAGGCACAATTTGACTTCCACTTTCCTACCTAGATGTCTGTGTTTCTTCCTCTTGCCTGATTGCTCTGGGTAAGACTTCCAGCACTATGTTGAATAGGAGTAGTGAGAGTGGGCATCTTTGTTTTGTTCCAGTTCTCAAAGGGAATATTCCAGCTTTTTCCCATTCAGTATGACATTGGCTATGGGTTTGTCATAGATGGCTCTAATTATTTTGAGGTATGCTTCTTCAGTAACTCATTTGTTTAGGGTTTATATCATGAAGGGATGTTTTTATTTTTAGCTCTGTTTATATGATGAATTACATGTGTTGATTTGTATAGGTTGAACTAAACTTGCATCCAGGGATAAAGTTTATTTAACCATAGTGGACTAGCTTTTCAATGTGCTGCTGGATTCAGTTGCCTTATATTGGCCTGAAGTTTTCTTTTTTGTTGTGTCTCTGCCAGGTTTTCATATCTGAATGATGCAGGCTTCATAAAATGAGTTAGGGAGGAATCCTTCCTTCTCATTTTTTTGGGATAATTTCAGTAGCATTGGTACCAGCTCTTCTTTGCACTTCTGGTAGAATTTGCCTATGAATCTTTTTTTTTTTTTTTTTTGCTCAGAGACTTTTTATTACTCATTCAGTTTCAGAACTCATTATTGGTTTGTTCAGGGTTTCAATTTCTTTCTAGTTTAATCTTGAGAGGTTGTGTTTCCAGAAATTTACCAGTTTCTTGTAGGTGTTCTACTTTGTTTGCATAAAGGTGTTCATAATAATATCTGAAAATTTTTTGTATTTCTGTGTGATTGGCAATAATGTCCACTTTTGTCATTTCTGATTGTGTTTTTTAGATCTTCTCTTTTTTTTCCTTTATTGGTCTAGTTGTCAAACTTATTTATTTTTTCAAAGAACCAGCTTTTAGTTTTATTTATCTTTTGTATGGATTTTCATGACTCAATTTCATTCCATTCTGCTCTGGTTTGGTTATTTCTTTTCTTCTGCTAGCTTTGGGTTGGTTTCCTGTTGGTTTTCTATTTTCTCTAGGTGTGATGTTAGGTTGTTAATTTAAGATCTTTCTAACTTTTCAATGTGGGCATTTAGCACTATAAACTTTTCCCTTAACACCACTTTGCCTGTGTCTTGGAGAGTCTAGTATGTTGTATCTTTGTTTTAACCAGCTTCAAAGAATTTCTTGGTTTCTGCCTTAATTTTATTGTTTTCCCGAAAGTTATTCATGCACAGGTTGTTTAATTTCAATGTGATTGTATGGTTTTGAGAGTTCTTCTTAGTGTTGATTTCTATTTGTATTGCACTGAGTAGTTCAAGCGTGTGGTTGGTATGATTTCAGGGTTTTTTTAATTTGTTGAAAATAAACTTATGGCTGACAGTGTGGTCAGTTTTACAATATATGCCATACACAGATGAGAGGAATATATATTCTGTGGTTGTTGGGTGGAGAGTTCTGTAGATGGCTATTAGATCCATTTAGCCAAGTGTTGACTTCAGGTACTGAATATCTTTGTTCATTTTCTGTCTCATGATCTGTCTAGTACTGTCAGCAAAATGTTGAAGTCTCCCACTATTATTCTCTGGTTATCTAAGTCTCCTTATATATCTCTATGAACTCATTTTATGAATATGAATACTTAAGTTTTGGGCACATATATCTTTCAGACAGTTAAGTCTTCTTGTTGAATTGAACCATTTATCATTAGGTAGTGCCTGCTTTGTCTTTTTTTATTGTTGTTGGTTTAAAATCTACTTTCCCAAATTAAAATAATAATGCCTACCCTTTTTTGTTTTGCATTTACCTGGTAGATTTTTTCCATCCCTTTACTTTGAGCCAATGGGTATTGTTGCATATGAGATGGTCTCTTGACAGCAGAGTATAGCTGGGCTTTGCTTCTTTATCCAACTTGCCACTCTGTGACTTTCAAGTGAGGCATTCAGGCTATTTACATTCAAAGTTAATATTGATATTTATGTATTTGGCCCTGTCATTATGTTGTTAGCTGGTTATTTAAAAAGACTTGATTATGGCCAGGCGCGGTAGCTCACGCCTGTAATCCCAGCACTTTGGGAGGGCGAGGCGGGTGGATCACGAGGTCAACAGATTGAGACCATCCTGGTCAACATGGTGAAACCCCATCTCTACTAAAAATACAAAAAATTAGCTGGGCACGGTGGCACGTGTCTGTAATCCCAGCTACTCAGGAGGCTGAGGCAGGAGAATTGCCTGAACCCAGGAGGTGGAGGTTGCAGTGAGCCGAGATCGCGCCATTGCACTCCAGCCTAGGTAACAAGAGCAAAACTCCATCTCAAAAATAAAAATAAAAATAAAAATTAAAAAAAGACTTGATTGTGTAGTTGCTTTACAGTGTTGCTGGTCTATGTACTTAAATGTATTTTTGTGGTAGCCATTAACAGCTTGCAATAGCTACATGAGTGAACTTGGAGGCAGATTTTCTCCCACCTCTACCTGCCTCATGAGAAATCTTAAGTCAAGGCATACAGCTAAGCCATACCCACATTCCTGACCCATAGAACTCATTAGACAATAAATATTTGTTGTTTGAAGCTCCTATGTTTGAGAATTGTTTGTTAAGCAAAATGAGAAAAATAATACAACAGGTGATTGCAATGTGCAGCAGAGTTCAGGAACCACTGAACTAGGCCAATATGTGGTCTTAGAGAAGACTAGTCTCTTCTTGCGTCCACAGGGAAATCTGTAGCATAAATTGCACTATAGAGGTTGTATAACCAGAAGCAAATAGGCAAAATGATTATACCCTCACATCAGTCAGTCATTGGCAGATGCTCTCTGGAGGGAAGGTAGAGCAGTGCAAAACCTCCCTAGTATACCCAGGTAGGTGATTGTCAGCAGGACAAGGGTTCTAGAACCTGCAGATGTTAGCAGCCAACAAGCAGCAGCTGTTCACTAACCTCGTAAATGGGTTCTGGCAGGAGCACGAAGAGCATTTCTACACAGGATATACTTCAGCCTTTATAAAATAAATGTAGAAGAGATGAGGCAAAATTCTGATTAAGATATGCCAACAGAAGGTAATCTGAGTAGGAATCTTTCCATTCCTGATAAGTGTCATCACCCACTCCAGAAATTTTCTTATTTGCCTTTGTAACTTAGGTGGCCACACTTGTTTTTCTTTTTTGGGGGGCGGGGGGGAAGACATCTCTGTTCCTTCAATCCTTACTTACTCAAGAAGTAGGAAATGTGTGGAAGGAAGATTTATCTGGCCATTCTTACAGTGGTACTCCAAATAATCAACAATTTGGTTTCCCCAGAGGTCTCTCTTGCTCCCAGAATCTGCCATTTCAGGGTTTGGGGCAGTTTTAGAGGCACACATATCTTTTGAAGCAATCTTACTTACACACATTTTGGTTTATAGTTTCCTTTTTTCAATCTAAATTGTCTGTCTCTTATCTTCCTGGGATATATTTAGTTTCCTGTCCATTGAGGATTCACTTTTTGCTTTCTAGTTAGGTTATGAATTTTTCTATTACTTTTACATATTCCCTTCAAAGATTTAGGAATAGAAGGAGAGGCTGCAAGCTATGCTCAGCCCAACATTTTAAACCACATCTGTGTAACCTTTTAGCCAGCACTAAACAATGCATGAAAGTTTTATAACCATTAAATTACATTCACTCAAATTTGAAATTCTTCTAAACAATGTAAAGTTATTATAAACGACTTGTACTTATAAAAACTATTTAATTTAAAAGATACTTTAAAGTTGATTTTCAGTCTTTCTTTCAGTTTTGTTCTAGGTGCTGTCTCTCCTGCTGTTGTTGTCCCTTCCATGCTGCTGTTGCAAGAAAATGGATATGGTATTAAGAAAGGCATTCCAACCTTACTAATGGCTGCTAGCAGTATGGATGACATTCTGGCTATCACTGGATTCAATACATGCTTGAGTATAGTCTTTTCCACGGGTAAACAAGTAAATGTAACAACCACCAGATCATTCATGACCCTTTTTGTTAGTTCTTTAAACAGAGTTTCTGGCTTTGCGTCTTCATTTATTAACCAAGATTTTTCAATTTCACATCTTTTTAATCTCCATAGAAAACTCATGCTAGATCGAGGAAGATATTTCAGTGGCTTAAGATACCACTACTTAACATACATAATCTCATTTTAATAATGATGTTACAGTTAATTTGATTAAACTATATTATTACTATTTATCTGCTTATGTTGCTTTGGAATTTTATCAGTTCTCATTAGAAAAAATTAAGCAACACTATTATTTGTACTACTAATATTTTAATAGGCATTTTTGAAATGTGCCTTTTTGGCCATCCTAATAAACAACTAGTTGCTCTATTATAAGACAGCATAAACATATAGAGCTTGGACAGCTACATGCCTTTTTGGTAGTGTTAGGACAAGATTCTGTACCAGTTCTAACTCCCAAGGTGATATCGGGTCTTAAATATCACTACAGAAATTGTAAAAGTAAACCATTTCCACAGTTAGTAATGCTTTAATTATCTGCAATGTTTGAAACTGAGTTTCTTCTGTATTATTGAAGCACTAAATTTTTTTTTTTGAGACAGAGTTTTGCTCTTGTTGCCCAGGCTAGAGTGCAATGGTGCAATCTCGGCTCACTGCAACCCCCACCTCCCAGATTCAAGGGATTCTCCCTGCCTCAGCATCCCAAGTAGCTGTAATTACAGGCATGTACCACCACACCAGGCTGATTTTGTATTTTTAGTAAAGACGAGGTTTCTTCATGTTGGTTAGGCTGGTCTCAAACTCCCAACCTCAGGTGATCCTCCCACCTCAGCCTCCCAAAGTGCTGGGATTATGGATGTGAGCCACCACACCTGGCCCAGAGAACAGCTTTCTTTCTTTCAAAAGAGAGGAGCACCCGTGTGGGACTTCTCACACTGAAGTATTTTTAAGTTGAAAAGTAATATATATAGTTTCTCTTAAAATCAGAAAATATAAATAAACAAGGAAAAGGGGGAAGTTAAAAATAAAATCTGCGATAGTCACATCCAGAAAAAAAAATCATTTCCTTCTGAACCTTTTGATATAAATCCACCCAAATACCCTACCCCTCCCCTCTCCTTCCTCCTGTCCCCTCCCCTCCCCTCCTCTTCCCATCTGTCAAATATTCTTATAAAAATCAGTGAATGTTGACCATATGTTCTTATAACCTGAATTATTTTGTGCTTAACTATATATCACAAACGTGTTTCTTTTCAGTAAATATATTTCTATGTCATTTTTAATTGTTGTTTAGCTTGATGGAAGACTGTTCAATGTGCTGCATCATAATTACTTATCTTGTTCAAAATTGAAGTTGACTCCAATATTTACTATTAAAATAATACTTATGCTGCTATAAAAATATTTTTAAAAATTAAAAAATTGGCAGGTACAGTGGCTCATGCCTATAATCCCAGCACTTTGGGAGGCCCAGAAATCACTTGAGGTCAGGACTAGCCTGGCCAACATGGTGAAACCCCATCTCTACTAAAAACACAAAAATTAGCTGGGCATGGTGGTGGGCACCTGTAATCCTAGCTACTCAGGAGGCTGAGGCAGGAGAATCACTTGAATCTAGGAGGCAGAGGCTGTAGTGAGGTGCAGGCTGTAGTGAGCCAAGATCATGCTACTGCACTCCATCCTGGGCAACAGAGTGAGACTCCATCTAAAAAAAAATATTTCTTAATTTAAAAAATAATACTTAGTTGAACATATAAAGAAATATTTGTACCTATTCTTCATATTTGTTGTGGAAATTTTCAGGGTTTCTACATAAAAGATCATACCATCTGCAAAGAGAGATACTTTTCTTTTCTTTTTTTTTCTTTCCAATTTGGATTACTTTTATTTCTTTTTCTTGCCTACTTACTCTGGGAAAGACAATCCAGTACCTTGAGAATAGAAGGAGAGAGAGAGTGGACAATCTTGCCTTGTTCTTGACCTTAGGAAGAAAGCTTTCAGTTTTTCTCCATTGAGTGCAATGTTGGCTATGTCTTTTCATATATGGCTTTTATCATGTTGAGATATTTTGCTTCTCTTCCTAGTTTATTGAGTGTTCTTATCACAAAAGGGTATTGGATTTGTCAAATACTTTTTCTGCATTAAATGAGATGATCATGTGATTTTGGCCCTTCACTCTGTTAATGTTCTGCATTACACTGAATAATTTTTGTGTGAACCCATACAAAAATCATTTTGCATCACTTTGCATTTCAGAAATAAATCTCACTTAGTTCATGCTGTATACTACTATTTATATGTGGTTGAATTCTATTTGCTAGTATTGTGTTAAGGAGTTTTGCATATTCATCAGCGATATTAGTATGCAGTTTTCTTATAGTATATTTGTTTATATTTGATGTCAGAGTAAAACTGGCTTCAAAAAATGAGTTTGGAAGTGTTCCCTCCTCTTCAAATTTTTAGAAGAGTTTGAGAGGAATCGGTGGGTTTTTTGCTTGTTTCTGATATAGGGTCTCACTTTGTCACCCAGGCTGGAATGCAGTGCTCGATCATGGCTCACCGCAACCTCAACCTCCAAAGCTGAAGCAATCCTTCTACCTCAGCCTCCTGAGTACCTGGGACTACAAGCACACACCACTATGCTCAGATATTTTTTTTTATTTTTTGTAGAGATGAGGTCTCACTATGTTGCCCAGGGTTGGTCTCAAACTCCTGTACTCAAGCAGTCCTCCACCTTGACCTCCCTAAGTGCTGGGATTACAGATGTGAGTCACAACACCCAGCCAGGAATTGGTGTTAATTCTTTAAGTATTTGGTAGAATTTTGCAGTGAATTAATCTGGTCCTGGGCTTTTCTCTGCTGGGAGGTTTTTGATTCCTGGTTCAGTTACAAGTTATAAGTCTATTCAGATTTTTATTTTATGACTTAGTCTTGGTAACTTGCATGTTACTAGGAATTTGTTCATTTCTCCTAGGTTATCCAATTTGTCAGTATATAATCATTCATAATAGACTCTTAGAATTCTTTTTATTTCTGTAACATCTGTTGCAATGTCTTCTCTTTTGTTTCTAAAATAAGTTGAGTCTTCTTTATTTTTTTCTTAGGTACCCTAGCTGATGATTTGTCAATTTTGTTGAACTTTGAAACTACTAGTTTTGCTGTTTTTTTTCTATTCTCTATTTTATTTATTTCTGCTCTAGAGGTTTTTTGTTTTTGTTTTTGTTTGTCTGTTTGTTTTGTTTGTTTTTGAGACAGAGTTTTGCTCTTGTTGTCAGGCTGGAGTGCAATGGCACGATCTCGGCTCACCGCAACCTCTGCCTCCCAGTTCAAGTGATTCTCCTGCCTTCACATCTGGAGTAGCTGGGATTACAGACATGTGCCACCACACCAGGCTAATTTTGTATTTTTTAATAGAAACCCAGTTTCTCCATGTTGGTCACTCTGGTCTCGAACTTCCGACCGACCTCAGGTGATCCGCCCTCCTCGGCCTCCCAAAGTGCTGGGATTACAGGTGTGTGCCACCGTGCCCACCCTTCTGCTCTAGACTTTATTATTTCCTTCCTTCTGCTAACATTGACTTGAGTTTGTCTTCTTTTTCTAGTTCCTTGAGGTATAAAGTTAAGTTGCTGATTTTAGATGTTTCTTCTTTTTTAATGTAGGTAGTTAGATATATAAACTATCCTCTTAATATTGATTTTGCTGCATTCCAGAAGCTTTGGAATGTTGCATTTTCATTTTTATTTGTCTCAAGACATTTTCTAATTTTCCTTGTGACTTATTCTTTGGCCATATATTAAGCAGGGTTCTCCAGAGGGTCAGAACCAATAGGAAATATAGATACAGGTATAAACACATATACATGCATATAAAAGAGACTATATTTACATATATATGAAAGGTAATTTATTAAACAGAGTTGGCTCATATGATTACAAAGGCAAAGCCCCACAATAAGCCATCTATAAGCTGGGAAATGAGAGAAACCTAGAGCATGGCTCCCAAGGAAGCCAGTGACATGGCTCAGTCCAAATCTGAAAGTCTCAAAACCAAAGAAGCTGACAGTGCAGCCACTAGTATGAGGCCAAAGGCGGGAGAGTTCCCAAAAGGCTGCCGATGCAAGTCCCAGGGTCCAAAGGTCAAAGAACCTAGAGTTTGATGTGCAAGGGCAAAAGGAGAAAAAGGCATACTGCTCCAGAAGACAGAGAGTTCATAAAAAAGAAATCTAAGCAAGCAGAATATTCCTACTCTTTGCTGTTTTGTTCTAGCCACACTTGCAACCAATTGCATGATGCCCACCCATGTTGAGGATGGGTCTTTCTTTCCTAATCCACTAACTCATGCATCATTCTCCTCTGGTGGCACCCTCACAGATATACCCAAACACAATGCTTCATCAGCCATCTAAGCATCCCTCAATCAAACTAACAGTCAATATTAACTGATTGGGCACACAGACCAATCAGTTGTTTAAGAAAGTGTATTTTTGTAATTTCCACATATTTATTACTTTTCCTTTTTCCTTCTGCTATGAATTCCTTATTTCATTTCATTGTAGTCAGAAAAGATACTTAGAATAAGTTCAGTTTTCTTAAATTTTTAAAAACTTGTTTTGTGGACTAGCATGCCATCTGTCCTGGAAAAAAGGCTTGGTATGTACTTGAGAAGAAAGTGTATTTTGCTATTATTGGGTGAACTGTTCTGTATATGTCACATAGGTCCAATTGGTCTACAATGTTGTTCAAGTTCTCTGTTTTCCAGTTGATCTTCTGTATGGTTGTACTATCCATAATTGAAAGTGGAATATTGAAGTGTTCTGTTATGATGTTGCTTTCTATGTCACCCCTCAATTCTGCCTATTAGCTTCATATATTTAGATGTTGGACTCTTAGTTGCATATATATTTATAATTGCTATACCTTCTTGGTCAATTGGCCCTTTTATTATTATGTAATGTCCTTGTCACTTGTAATACTTAATTTAAGTATTTGTCCCTTGTAATATTTAATTTAAACTCTATTTTGTCTAAGTATGGCCATCCTTGTTCTCTTTTGATTACCATCTGCACTATCTCTTTCCATCCTTTCACTTTCAACCTTGTGTGTCTTTAGATCTAATGAGTCTTTTGCATGTAGTATATATTTGAATCTTGTTTATTTTTTTAATCCATTCAACCAATCTCTGTCTTTTGATGGGAGAATTAACCTATTGCATTTAAAGTAGTTACTGATAGGGAAGGGCTTGCTATTGTCATTTTGTTAATTGTTTTCTATATGTCTTGGAGCTATTTTGTTCCTCTTTTCCTCTCTTCCTGCCTCCCTTTATGTTTCATTGATTTCTTTTTTTGGACATGCTTTGATTCCTTTCCCATTTTTATTTGTGTATCTTCTATAGGTCTTTTATCTGTGGTTACTGTAGAATTACATGAAAACATAGTTATAACAATTTTTTTTTAAATTGACAATTTTAATCACATAGAAAAACTCTACTTCTTTACATCTCCTCACTTTTTTTATGACACACAATACATATTTTTATATTGAATATTCATTCACATAATTTGATAAAGTTATGCTTTTACCTTTTAAATTTTGTGCTTCAATTAAAAGTGATTTATAGACTGGGTGTGGTGGCTCACACCTGTAGTCCCAGCACTTTGGAAGGCCAAGATGGGAGGATTGCTTGAGCCTAGGAGTTTGAGGCCAGCAAGATCTTGTCTCTACTAAAAATTTAAAAATATTATTAGAGTGTGGTGGTGCATGTCTGTAGCAGCAGCCACTTGGGAGGCTGAAGTGGGACGACTGCTTTAGGCCAGGACAACAGAGCTGCCTGGGCAACAGAGTCAGACCCTGTCTCAAAAGAAAAAAGGAAAAGGTAAAGAAAAAAGTGTTTTACTTATCACCATTACAGTATTACAGAATTCTGTGTTCACTCATATATTTGCCTTTACCAAAGAAGTTTATATTTTGTATTGCCATCCAATGCCCTTTCATTTCCAGTTGAAGGACTCACTTTAACATTTTTTGTAAGGTAGGTCAAGTGGTAATCAACTTCCTCAACTTTTACTTCTCTGGGGAAGTTTTTGTTTGTCCTTCATTTTTGAAGTACAGTTTTACTGGCTATACTGTTCTTGGTTGACTTTTTTTTTTTTTTTTTTTTTTTGGCCCATTTATTTATTTATTTATTTATTTATTTATTTATTTATTTATTTTTTGAGACAGAGTTTCACTCTTGTTACCCAGGCTGGAGTGCAATGGCGTGATCTCGGCTCGCTGCAACCTCCGTCCCCTGGGTTCAGGCAATTCTCCTGCCTCAGCCTCCTGAGTAGCTGGGATTACAGGCACGCACCACCATGCCCAGCTAATTTTTTGTAATTTTTAGTAGAGATGGGGTTTCACCATGTTGACCAGGATGGTCTCGATCTGTTGACCTCGTGATCCACCCGCCTCGGCCTCCCAAAGTGCTGGGATTACAGGCTTGAGCCACCGCGCCTGGCCTTTTTTGGCCCTTTTAATATATCATCCCGTTCTCTTCTGGCCTGTTAGAGTTTTTACTGACAATTCCACTGATAACCATATGACATCTTCCTTGTATGTGAAAAGTTGCTTTTATTCTGTTCCTTTCAAGGTTCTCTCTGTCTTTGAATTTGACAGTTTGATTACAATGTTTCTCGTTGTAGGTCTTTTGCAAATTATCTAACTTGGAGTTCTTTGAGCTTCTTGGATTTGAATGTCCATTTCCTTCCTTAAATCGAGAAGTTATTGGTCATTATTTTTTGATAATGACTTTTATTCTTCTCTTCTCCTTCTGGCACTTTCCTAATGCATACATTGGTCTACTTGATGGCATTCTATAACTCTCTTAGGCTCTCTTCACTCTTCATTCCTTTTCCCTTTTTCTCCTCTGACTCCATAATTTCAAATGACCAGTTTTCAGTTTCACTGATTCTTTCTTCTGCTTGATGTGATTGAAACTGCCTTTGCAAAATTATAACTGAAGAAATTATGACAATGAAAGAGATCAGACCTAATCAACTCCATCTTGCTTCTAACATTTAAACTGTCCTTGTTCATTCCAGGAGTAGGATAAACTAACTTTGGGAAGAAATTCAGTTCATGGTTTGACTCTGAAACCAAGTTGCTAATAGCTGTTTCCCAAAAAAGATCCCCTTCTTGCCTGGGGACCAGTCTGCCTTTGCAGGATTAACAAATTACCTGTAAGATTAGAAATTACAGTTTAGGGGTTATGCAGCCTCTGGCTCCAAGAGTCTGAACCTCCCCAAATTGCTTCTGGGGATAACATCACTATTGTAAAACCTAAGATCAGTTCTTGAGATATTTTGCAGACCCTGCACTGGATGAATCAGCTAACACCACCCAGACTGGTAATCTGGCTCAACCAGTTCTTTCATCCCACCCACAAACAGAAGACAGCAAGAAAACATCACTTCAACCCCCTATGATTTCATCTCCAACCTACTGAATCAGCACTCCCCACTTCCCAAGCCTGTACCTGCCAAATTATCTTTAAAACTTCTGATCCCCAAATGCTTGGGAAGACTAAGTAATAATAAACTCCAGTCTCATGCAGAGTCAGCTCTGCATGAGTTACTCTTTCACCATTGCATTTCCTCTGTGTTGGTAAATCAGCTCTGTCTAGGCAGGGCACAAACAAGGTGAACCCATTGGAGAGTTACATAGTCTGTTGGTGATTTCCTATAGTGAATTTTTCAATTCAATTATTCCTCAGCTCCAGAGTTCTTTTTTTTTTTTTTTTTTTTTTTAGTTTCTCTTTGTTAATATTTTCATTTTGTTCATGAATTATTTCCTGATTTCATTTAGTTGTCTATTGGTGTTGTCATTGGGCTTCTTTAAGAGAGTTAACTTGAATTCTTTTCCAGGTAATTCATTTATCCATTTCTTTAGGTTTGGCTTCTGGAGATTTATTTTGCTCCTTTAATTTAGTCATTATGTTTCTTTGTTTCTTTTTATGCCTTGTTGTTTTTTATTTTTTATTTATTTTTGCTGAGATTTGGACGTTCGAAAAAACTGCTACTTCTTCCAGTTTTTATCAACTGGCTTCCTACAGAAGACCTTTACCTGAATCAGCCTGGCTATAGGTTTTAGCGGCCTCTCAAACCTTTTCTGGGAGTGCATCTTCTTTGGGTTTATACGTGCAATATCCCAAGTAGAGGTTTGCCAGTTTCTTTTTCTGAAGCTGTTGCTCCCTCTGGTATCTCTCTGTGGTACTGCAGGTTCCCTGACCTCTCAGAGGTATTATTCAGAGTATTATATCAGTATTATATTCAGGTATTATATCAGAGATATTATTCTCAGTGGCTCCCACGCATTGAAAGTATGCAGGTTGGGTGTCAAGTTAGAGGAAGAGAGAGCTTCAGGCAACCTCACAAAAATGCTCCATTCCAGTCTTCTTTTTCCCTGCTAATGGAGAAGCTACAAGTTGAGTGCTTTCTCCCAGTCACACCAACCTGTTCCAGCTTGGAAAAGGGCTATCATGAGTATAGTGCAACAGCTTTTCTTATTTGATCAATAACACTATTCTTGGCTTTGCACTTACCTGTTCTACTACTTAATGGTTTACGGAACTCCATAACAGCTTTTAGACCATATATTGTTGTTCAGTTGGTATCTTTGTGGAGAATCAAGGTTTGGAGGTTCCCATTCCACACCATTTGGCTGACATCACTCTGTTTCTATTATTTCCTATTTTTATTATACTTTATTTTCTAGAGACAGGGTGTTGTTCTGTCAGCCAGACTGTAGTGCAGCCTGGAACTCCTGAGCCTAAGGGATCTTCTCCTCAGCCTACTGAGTACTGGGACTATTGGCACACACCACATACCTGGCTAATTTTTAAATTTTCTTGTGAAGATGGGGTTTTGCTCTGTTGCCCAAGCTGGTCTCAAACTCTTGGGCTCAAGCAATCCTTCTGCCTTGGCCTCCCAAAGTGCTAGGATTAAAGGTGTGAGCCTACCATGCCCTGCCTGTTAGACTTAGAAGAAAATATGTCTAAAAATATACTTACTGACTATATTGAATCCACTACCCAGAGCTTAAATGAACTATTTTTATGACTCAGAATCTTTTTTATTTTTATTTTTTTACTTATTGCAAGTATGAATATATTAATATTCATGAATATAAAATACACTGGAATCTTTTTTATCTTTTTTCTTCACCAAAAGCAGATATTTGAATATACTGGAATCCTAATTGATCCTTGAATATAGGACTGACCCTGGAACAAAATTTTTTTATGTTGTTTTTACAGTTCTTTTTATGTTAAAATCATGTGTTTATTTTTCATATAGCACATCAAAGAAAAATCATTAATATAGCCCTTACCAGCCATATGCTAAATGTCACAAGTGTTTCAGTCTCTCTCCATTCTTGTACCTCATTTGGTCTATTCTTTTTCTTTTTCTTTTTTTTTTGAGACGGAGTTTCACTCTTGTTACCCAGGCTGGAGTGCAATGGCGCAATCTCGGCTCACCGCAACCTCTGCCTCCTGGGTTCAGGCAATTCTCCTGCCTCAGCCTCCTGAGTAGCTGGGATTACAGGCGCGCACCACTGTGCCCAGCTAATTTTTTGTATTTTTAGTAGAGACGGGGTTTCACCATGTTGACCAGGATGGTCTCGATCTGTTGACCTCGTGATCCACCCGCCTCGGCCTCCCCAAGTGCTGGGATTACAGGCGTTTTCTGAGACGTAGTCTCCCTCTTTTGCCCAGGCTGGAGTACAGTGGCACGATCTCACCTCACAGCAACCTCTGACTCCTGGGTTCAAGTGATTCTCCTGCCTCAGCCTCCTGAGTACCTGGGACCACAGGTGTGCGCCACCATGCCCAGGTAATTTTTGTATTTTTAGTAGAGATGAGGTTTCATCATGTTGGCCAGGCTAGTCTTAAACTCCTGACCTCAAGTGATCCACCCGCCTCAGCCTCCCAGAGTGCTGGGATTACAGGCATGAGCCACTGCGCCTGGACTACTTGCTCTTTTAAGTTGGCTATATAAGGGGAGCATGTTGTGGCTTGTTAAGTCTTTGTTTTCTGACCTATTTATACAACGGACATTTCTGAGTTGTGCGTATATATTAAATTATTTGAGAGTATATATTTAAGGTACTGAATAGATCTACATGCTTTCATATGTGTTACTATTAAAAGACAATTTTCATATATGTGTTCTATTAAATCCTTACTTTTCTTCATGAACCACCCAGATTTGCTTTTCTGGTGTGTAGTGTATGTGAAAATATTTCTTTGTGAATTTTTTTTATTGTGTGCTTTTACAGGTAGTATAGTTCATAACATCCTATACTCTATAAGGAACGTATGTGTTAGTCTGCTGGCAGGAACTGTTTTGGGATTTTTTCTTCGATATTTTCCAAGTGAAGACCAGGTAAATAAAGAATCTATTTTATAGAAGTATAGTATTAGACATTTTTTTCAAAGCATTAAACTTTGGTAAGATCCATGAAATTTAACACTTAACTCTATTATTTCTCTAAAACTAGCCTCCAATGCCACCTGTGTACTTAAAACTGAGCATAGCAGTGATTGACACAGGTCAATGGCTTTGATTAAAGTCTCTGCTTCCTGATTTGGCAAAAAAGGAATATCAAAAAATATACTTAATGCAGAGTATCCCTCTGAATTATACTTTCCCTTTCTCTACTAAATTGCCTATTGATGTCTGATAATTCCCCCAAATTTTTCCTTAAACATTTTGAGGAAGATAGGTTTCCATTTATTTCTGCATATTTTCTGACTTATATTCACTCCTACTCTACTTTGATATAGGCAGCACTCTTAAACTTAGCCATTTCCTGCTTTAAAGGTAAATGCGTAATTACTTTTGTATTTCTGTAATTTTCATCCTAATTTAGCTGTAACAATTATATTGGCCAAAGAGATATTCAAATATTATCTTTTAAGAATTCATTGGAAAAAAAAAGAAAAAGAAAAAAAGAATTCATTGGATATGTTATATGAAACTGGAGATTTTATGGGTCTCTTTTCTTTTTGTCTTAAAGTAATACTTTAAACGTTTTACTGATATTAATATCAGAGATGTGGCAGGAGATGAAACTTTACTAATTGCAAATTTTATTACTTGGTAGTAAGTCAGCTAAAATATATGGTGAGAAAGAAAATCAAAATATTAGACATTTAATATAACATTTAAAGACAATTTCAAATGGTCAAAAATGTATGATAAATAAATATATAAGATTTGATTATATATTGTATTATATATATCTTGTATTATATATTTAATGTATTATATATTTAATGTAAACTAATTTCTAAATATCTAATTCTAGGAAGAACTTTCATTGAAGAGAGGATTTCTTGTTTTGACTATGTGTGTTTCTGCTGTCTTAGGCAGCCAACGTATTGGTTTACTTGGATCTGGAGGATTATGCACACTAGTGTTGAGTTTCATTGCTGGGACAAAATGGTCCCAAGAAAAGGTGAATATTTTTAATACACTATTTTCTTAAAGCTAAAATAATTGAATTTTTAAATGTATATTTAGGAAATCCCCTCAGTCTGGTTGGAAAATGTTCCAAAAGGTTTTGTGTCCTCGAGAAAGTGTATGAATCAATCAAAAAAAATAAAATATTTAGGAAAAGCACCTGGAAATACACTAATATGCAATCAGAACTTGAGTTATCACCTCAGGCTTCTCTTCTTCGCAAGTTTTATATAATATTATTATGTTACTTTTATCAATCTAATTATTTTATTCATTAAATTTTTAATTATACAATTAATCCATGAAAAATGTTTATAAAAGGTTGGGCATGGTGGCTCAGCCTGTAATCCCAGAGCTCTGGGAGGTCGAGGCGGGCAGAACAGCTGGGGTCAGGAGTCTGAGACTAGTATGGCCAATATGGTGAAACCCTGTCTCTACTAAAAATACAAGAACTAGCCAGGTGTGGTGGCATGGTAGCGGGCACCTGTAATCCCAGCTACTCAAGAGGCTGAGGCAGAAAAATCGCTTGAACCCAGAAGGCAAGAGGTTGCAGTGAGCCGAGATTATGCCATTGGACTCCAGCCTGGGCAACAAGTGTGAAATTCCATCTCCATAATAAATAAATAAATAATAAACAAACAAACAAATCAATAATAAAAAATAAAAATGCTTGTAAAAGAGTGAAACATAGAATAAAATGTAAAAGATTTCTTTATCCCCCACTCCCAAATATCAAACCCCCTTACATTTTTTAGGTAACCAGTATTCTATTTACAGACATTGAAATCTTTTCTACTTTTTGTTATTTACAAACAGTACTGTCAAAAACAGTGTTGTTCATGTCTTTTTTAAAATTATTATTATACTTTAAGTTCTGGTATACATGTGCAGAATGTGCAGGTTTGTTATATAGGTATACACGTGCCATGATGGTCTGCTGCACCCATCAACTCATCATCTACATTAGGTATTTCTACTAATACTATTCCTCCCCTAGCCTCCCACCCCCCAAGAGACCCCAGTGTGTGATGTTCCCCTCCCTGGGTCCATGTGTTCTCATTGTCTAACTCCCACTTATGATTGAAAACATGCAGTGTTTGGTATTCTGTTCTTGAGTCAATTTGCTAAGAATGATGGTTTCCAGCTTCATCCATTTCCCTTCAAAGGACATAAACTCATCCTTTTTTATGGCTGCATCATATTCCATGGTATATATGTGCCACAGTTTCTTTATCCAGTCTATCATTGATGGGCATTTGGGTTGGTTCTAAGTCTTTGTTCTTGTGAACAGTGCCACAGTAAAAATACGTGTGCATGTGTCTTTATAGCAGAATAATTTCTAATCCTTTGGGTATATACCCAGTAATGGGATTGCTGGGTCAAATGGTATTTCAAGTCCTAGATACTTGAGGAATCACCACACTGTATTCCACAATGGCTGAACTAATTTACATTCCCACTAACAGTGTAAAAGCGTTCCTATTTCTCCACATCCTCTCCAGCATCTGTTGTATCCTGACTTTTAATGATTGCCATTCTAACTGGCATGAGATGGTATCTCAATGTGGTTTTGCTTTGCATTTCTCTAATGACCCATGATGATGAGCTTTTTTTCACGTTTGTTGGCTTCATGAATGTCTTCTTTTGAGAAGGGTCTGTTCATATCCTTTGCCCACTTTTTGATGGGTTTTTTTTTTCTTGTAAATTTGTTTAAGTTCCTTATAGATTCTGGATGTTAGCCCTTTCTCAGATAAACAGATTGGAAAAAATTTCTCCCATTCTGTAGGTTGCCTCTTCACTCTAATGATAGTTTATTTTATTGTGCAGAAGCTCTTTAGTTTAATTAGATCCCATTTGTCTATTTTGGCTTTTGTTGCCATTGCTTTTGGTGTTTTAGTCATGAAGTCTTTGCCCATGGCTCTGTCCTGAATGGCATTGCCTAGGTTTTCTTCTAGGGTTTTTATGATTTTAGGTCCTACATTTAAGTCTTTAATCCATCTGGAGTTAATTTTTGTATAAGGCGTAAGGAAGGGATCCAGTTTCAGCTTTCTGCATATGGCTAGCCAGTTTTCCCAGCACCATTTATTGAATAGGGAATCTTTTCCCCATTGCTTGTTTTTTATCAGGTTTGTCAAAGATCAGATGGTTGTAGATGTGTGGTGTTAATTCTGAGGCCTCTGTTCTGTTCCGTTGGTCTATATATCTGTTTTGGTACCATTACCATGCTGTTTTGGTTACTATAGCCTGTAGTATAGTTTGAAGTCAGGTAGTATGATGCACCCAGGTTTGTTCTTTTTGCTTAGGATTGTCTTAGCTATGTGAGCTCTTTTTTGGTTTGATATAAAATTTAAGGTTGTTTTTTTCCAATTCTGTGAAGAAAGTCCATGGTAGCTTGATGGGGATTACATTGAATCTATAAATTACTTTGGGCAGTATGGCCATTTTCACAATATTGATTCTTCCTATCCATCAGCATGGAATGGTTTTCCATCTGTTTGTATTCTCTCTTATTTCATTGAGCAGTGGTTTGTAGTTCTCCTTGAAGAGGTTCACATTCCTCGTTAGTTGTATTCACATCACCTTCACATTCCTTATTAGTTGTATTCCTAGGTATTTTATTCTCTTTGTAGCAATTGTGAATGGGAGTTCACTTATGATTTGGCTCTCTGTTTGTCTGTTATTGGTGTATAGGAATGCTTGTGATTTTTGCATGTTGATTTTGTATCCTGAGACTTTGCCGAAGTTGCTTATCAGCTTAAGGATATTTTGGGCTGAGATGATGGGGTTTTCTAAATATACAATCAAGCCATCAGCAAACATAGACAGAAAGGGAAGCTGGGTAGACAAATAAATGAGAATCTAATATATGTTTTGGTTTGGTTTTAAGGAAAAGGTAGCTTTAAAGTATTCAACATGGGTTCTTTGGAAGCAGAGCTATCAGACTACCAAATTGTTTCCTAGTAGTGTATGCTATGTCAGGATTCACTTTAATGGGATTGGGTTCCAGGATGGTTGTTAGTTGAGGGCTTCCCAACCCCCTTCTGAGGACCCAGATGTTTGCATGAACTGGTTATGTTCTGATCAGACATGATGTAGTTCTATCTCTGTTCAATTAACTTACAAACAAAATCTGGAACTAGTAGTAAACATGGCTAGAATTCCAAGGACATCACTTATTCTATGACAAAATGGCCAAATAGTATTATTTTATTGCTTTGTGAGTTACTTTTAATCAAATTCTACCTAAGTATTTGAGCAAAACTATCAAAGTGCTCAGTTTTTATTAATTAAGTTTAACATTTTTGGAAAAATAGAATGTCTTAAGTTTATTAAATGTTAAATGACTTTAGGTCAGGCATGGTGGCTTATGCCTATAATGCCAGTGCTTTGGGAGGCCACAGCCAGAGACAGCTTGAGGACAGCAGTGCCAGACTATTCTGGGCAACACAGAGAGATGCCATCTCTACAAAAAAATTAAAAATTAGCCCGGCATGAGCTGGCAGCTGCTAGGTTACTAGTTCAAAAATTAGCCCGGCATGGTGGTACACACCTGTAGTTCTACTTGGGACGCTGAGGCAAGAGGATTACTTGAGCCCAGGAGTTCAAGGCTATAGTGAGCTATGATTTGCCATTACACTCCAGCCTGGGCAACAGAGCAAGATCCCATCTCTAAAAAACTTTAAAAGTTAAAAAATGAGACTTTTTAAGTTTCTGAAATATATTTATGTGTCAAAATAATTATAGATGTATTTCTTTTTTCTATAGATGAAAGTCCAAAAGATTATTACAAATGTATGGGATATTTTTCAACCACTTCTTTTTGGTTTAGTTGGAGCAGAAGTATCCGTTTCATCTCTTGAATCAAACACTGTTGGTAAGAATAATTAGAGCACAAAAATATGAAATTCAAAAATATTTAAGAAACTTATGAATATTTTTATTTTTATTTACAATATATCTTTGAATGGCTACAAGGACCTTCTTCAGAAAACACATGTTGATACAATATTATATTTTCATATTGCTCTTCCTTTTCACAGTGTGCTCTTTTAAAAAAATTAATTAAAACAAAAAAAAAACAAGGACAGCCCTGAATATCTTCCCTGAGTTATCTGAGGAAATAAATATAAGAGTTCTTTTCTGAGGGAAAATACTTGATACGATCAGCACTTTTTGAATACTTTTATTTAAAGGTATTGGCTGGACATGGTGGCTCACGCCTGTAATCCCAGAACTTTGGGAGGCCAAAGAGGACAGCTTTCTTGAGGTTGCCAGTTCAAGACCAGCTGGCTAACATAGAGAAACCACCTGTCTACTAAAAATACAAAAATTAGCTGGGCGTGGTGGTGCACACCTGTAATTTCAGCTACTTGGAAGGCTGAGACAGGAGAATCACATGAACCCGAGAGTTGGAGGTTGCAGTGAGCTGAGATCACATCACTGCACTCCAGCCTGGTTGACAGAGCAAGAATCCTTCTCAAAAAATAAATTAATAATAATTTTAGGCCGGGCATGGTGGCTCAAGCCTGTAATCCCAGCACTTTGGGAGGCTGAGGCGGGTGGATCACGAGGTCAACAGATCGAGACCATCCTGGTCAACATGGTGAAACCCCATCTCTACTAAAAATACAAAAAATTAGCTGGGCATGGTGGCGCACGCCTGTAATCCCAGCTACTCAGGAGGCTGAGGCAGGAGAATTGCCTGAACCCAGGAGGTGGAGGTTGCGGTGAGCCGAGATCGCGCCATTGCACTCCAGCCTGGGTAACAAGAGTGAAACTCCATCTCAAAAAATAATAATAATAATAATTTTAAAAGTATTCAAAAAAAATCTATTAGTTCAGAATTAAATAAATGTCATCTGTCTTATTTTTCATGGTACCTCCACCATCAGATAATCTCTTGCACTTTACAGAGAATCCTCAATCATATTCATTTTTTATAATTATTGTTTTTATGTAAAAAATAAAGACATGGAGAGACAATAGCCTTAAAACTCTTTTTAAAGTTTTAGAAATCATTTCTCTGGGCATAAAGAACACTTCTTCCCAAATATTTTGTTATTTATGTTTGTTTTCATCTGTTGTAGGCATATCTGTTGCTACTGTGAGTTTGGCATTATGTGTTCGAATGTTCACCACATATCTGTTGATGTGTTTTGCTGGGTTTAGTTTTAAGGAGAAAATATTTATTGCTTGCGCATGGATGCCCAAAGCTACAGTCCAGGTAAGAACATATTAAGTTTATTGTTTAATGCTTTCATTGTGATGCTTTTAAAATTCAAAATGAAAAATGTTACTCCAATTACAAAATATGAGCTATTAGCCTTACTTTTTAAATGTTTGATCGTAACTATTCATTAAAATTAATGTAACTAGTTCAGCTACTCAGGAGGCTGAGGTAGGAGAATTGCTTGAACCTGGGAGGCAGAGGTTGCAGTGAGCTGAGATGGTGCCACTATACTCCAGCCTGGTCGACAGAGCAAGACTCCATTTTTAACAAACAAACCAAAACCAAAAAAAAGTAACATTTTACCATTTTTATTTTTATTTTGAAACAAGGTCTCACTCTGTCATGCAGGCTGGAGTGCAGTGGCGAGGCATGATCACAGCTCACTGCAGCCTCAACCTCCCAGGTTCAAACAGTCCTGCCACATCAGCTTCCGGAGTTGCTAGGATCACAGACACTTGCTACCGTACCCAGCTAATTTTTTTCTGACTTTTTTTTTTTGAGACAGAGTCTCACTCTGTTGTGTCCAGGCTGGAGTGCAGTGGCGTGATCTCAGCTCACTGTAGCCTCTGCGTCTCAGTTTCAAGAGATTCTCCTGCGTTAAGTCTCCAGACTAGCTGGGATTACAGGCACATACCACAACACCAGGCTAATTTTTGTATTTTTAGTAGAGATAGGGTCTTACCATGTTGACCAGACTAGTCTCAAACTCCTGATCTCAAGCAATCCGCCTGCCTTGGTCTTCCAAAGTGCTGGAATTACAGGTATGAGCCATCATGCCTAGCCTTTTTTTCTGATTTTATTTTAGAGAGGGGGTCTGCTATGTTGCGTAGGTAGGTCTTAAACTTTTGGGTTCAAGTGATCCTCCTGCCTCAGCCTCCTAAAGTGCTGGGATTACAAGCATAAGCCACTGGGCCCAGCCAATGTAATTTTTTATATCTCAGTTTTAATAGCAATTCTTTTGAAATTAAAAAGTTTCAATGGTAAGTACTTCCTAAGTTTGTAAAAATATGTTTTGTATTTTCCTAAAATATATAATAAGAATATATCTGAAAATTGGAGTTTTTATGTTTTGCTGAATATAACAAAGCTAAATTGTTAACGATTTTTTAAAGTAGAGACACAGGCTGGGTATAATGCCTCATATCTGTAATCCTAGCCTTTCAGGAGGCCAAGGCGGGCAGATCGCTTGAGCTCAGGAGTTCAAGACCAGCCTGGGCAACCTGGCAAAACCTCGTCTCTACAAAAAAATACACAAACATTAGCCAAGTGTGGTGGCACACACCTTAGCCCAAGCTGCTTGGGGGCTGAGGAAGGAGGATTGCTTGAACCTAGGAGGTTGAGGCTGCACTGAGCTGAGATCACACCACTGCACTCCAGCTTGGGTGACAAAGTGAGACCCTGTCTCAAAAAAGTAAAGTAAAATAGATACACATTGATTTTTAAAAAATATCTTTCCTGTCTCTGTCACTCACTCCATCACACAAATGCACATATATTGTTTTTAATTTCACATTTATATGTATAACTATTTGGTTGATGGCTAAATCTCTACCCTCCCCCCAACCTTGATAGCCTATGTAAGGACAGGGACAATGTCTGGTTGTTGCAGTTGTTTTTCATTATTTTTCCCTGGCACTTAACACAGTGCCTGACATTCAGGAGGCAAATATGTATTGCTACAAGAATGAATGAACAGAAAGGGAAACCTTATAATCTTGCCCTCTTATTCAAGGATATTCTCCTCCTACTAAAATATATTGCTACTTATTTTTAGGCTGTTTAATTGCCAGCATAATATACCTCAATTTCCTGTGGTTCTTTTCTCAGTTGTTATTCCAAAACAGAAGCTCCTAAATTTTCATGCAACAAAACCTCTATTATCATGGTTAGACAAGCAGGTTCATAAGGCCAGACTACCTGTTTTGAATACCATGTTACTTGCCTATAACCTCAGGAAAATTATTTTCTAATCTCTCAGTGCTTCAGTGTTCTTTCTTGTCTTACAATGAAGTCTATGATTGTATCTACTTCATAGCAGTGTTGTCAGGATCCATGTAAAGTGCTTAGCATTCTCTCTGGCATATGGTGGTGCTCAACTAATAATGTTGTTATTTTATCTTACCTTCAAGTAATATAAATTATAATATTTATTTTTAATGTCTGCTGTAGGGAATAACAAATCTACAGCTATCTATGCATCCCTCTGTTCTCTCTCCTTCCAACAATACTCTTGCAATTTTGTTTTATTATTTCATAATTTTCATAAAGCAGGGAAAAAAGAAAAGCAGGTATGAGGAAAGAGACCACTCACTCAAGTCCTGCGGTGTTATTCTGCTTCTGCCTATTCCTGTCTACCGGCTCCAGGCTAGCTTCTGCACAAAGAACATCAAGCTGGTTCCAGGAACTGGCAAGACATAAAAAAATTAATTATTTATACAAGTAGAGTCACAATAGCAATAATAGATAATGATAATGTCACAAGTAAATAAGATCAACAAATATTTTAAATTTTAATTTTAAATTATGTTCACCTTTATCCTCTTCCGCCATTCTCTGCTGCTGAAATAAAATTGGCTAGGGTTCAGCTCCTTTTCTTATTCCTCAGTTACTGATAAAAATTAGAGTGGAAAAATAGAAGCTACTAGGAGAGTAAAGAAAGAATGTAGTTTACAAATGTAATATCAGGTTGGCAATTGGATTCTTTTAAAGAAATAATATTAAATCTCAGTCACTAGGAGGAAATCATTTACGATCTAATAATAGTCCTCACATAATAAGGTTCTATGAGAATTAAATCAGTTGTTAAAGGGAAAGCTTTAAGAATGGTATCTGTTATATGATGAATGCCATATAACTATATAAATATTATTTCTAGTTTCATCATCATCGTCTCTTAAAAAAGTCAGTGGGTTTGTTTTTTGTTTTTTCTATTTGCAGTTCTTTTATGTTCAAATCCTCTTCTAAACTGTAAGGGTCTTTAGAGTTGGTTTTCTCCCTGATTATCTTTTTCTCCCTTGCATCCTCCAGCACACTGGCTTGTGTTCAGTACATTAAAAGTTATTATATAAAAATTATACCATTTTAAATTATTGATTTAGGATATAGAAATTGATCTTAAATTGAGGGGTTCTTTTCCCATAATGTTCCATATCAGAGGTAATGTTTCTACTGTTATGTTGTTACTTTGCAACTCCATAGAAAATGTGTTATATGTTGGTATCTAATTCCCCCAAATTTTAAGGCAATTTCATGCCTAGATTATTAAACATGAAGAAAGAGGGTTAGCAAGAAATTTGCTTTATGTTGCTAAAAATAATGTGATAGACAGTAACTAGGGAAAAAACCTTGTGACCCAGTAGAGTCATTGTAAAACAAAAACTTCAAGGGAATTCATTCTCTGACCCGGCAGGGTATGAGAAGTGAGTAGGGGAAAAAGAAACTTACTATTATCTGAATACCTACTGTATGCCAGGTGTTCTTTGCATTCTCATATTTAATTTTCACAACCATCCAGTAAGATAAATATTTTTTCTTCATTTTACAAGTAAGTAAGTAGAAGTTTAGAAAGCTTGAATCATTTGTGCAGCATCACTAGCCTGGTTGTGGTAAAAACAGAATTCAAACCCAGTTTGCTAGATTCCAAGCCTGCTGTCAGTTCTGTTATAACACAGTGCCCCTGAATAGAGAGAACAATGAGAAGAAGGGCAACAAATCCTAGAGAACCATAAGAAACCTTAATATTTTATGTTGTCTTGTTGTAGCCAAGAACCACTGGTTCATGGTAAAGGCAACTAAGCAAAACTGGTTTTGTTAGAACTCCTGGTGTTATGAGGGCAACATGAACACTCAAAAGAGGTATTTGAATAGAGGAAAACTGAGAGGACAAGAGCACAAAATCAACCCGGAAATATTTGCCTGCTGATTTGTCAATATTGTACCCTTCCTCCACATCTAAGAAGAACAGGGAATTGATGAATAACTTATGAAAATTACTGAGTACTTTCATTTTTTTAATAGTCTAGTACTAGATTTCATTTTAACAGAGCCATTTATATGATATATTTACTCAGTTTAACATTTTTCTTTATGCTCCATTTTTTACCCCTAAATGCAGGCTGTATTAGGTCCCCTGGCTCTAGAAACCGCAAGAATCTCCGCACCGCACTTGGAATCATATTCGAAGGATGTGATGACAGTAGCATTTCTAGCCATCTTGATCACAGCTCCAAATGGAGCTCTACTTATTGGCATTCTTGGGCCTAAAATGCTTACACGCCATTATGATACAAGCGAAATAAAAAAACTGCAATTGTCAACCTTAGAACATAATTAAAAAGTTTACTTGTCATTATCTGCCTGCTTCTTTTAATGAATTATTTCACAAGAATTGTAAAGTAGAAATATGTGAAGACTATACAGAGAATCCAGGATTTAGTAAACATGTGATTTCAGTATAGGGCTTTTCTTGGATCTTTTACTCCAAAGTTAATTTAATAAAAATAATATTAAATGGAATGCTCTCTTGGTGTTTACATATGTAAGAACAAATTAAATCTGTAAATACCTTAGGAAAGTTTAAGTAATCCCTCAGGCTGAATTTGATATCATAATACAAACTGAGCTTAATGTAAAATTAAACTTAGTGGCAGAAAGATAAAGCTTTGAATATTGAACTTGGTAAGATAGCCTAGGAGGAGTAGAACTCCCCATGACTTCCAGTAATTCAGTTAATAAGAGCGCCACAAAAAGGAAAAAAGGAATAAAACACATCAACTTTAAATGAGTTAACTAAAAATAGATTTTAAATTCTGGTTTTGGTGACTACCTGAATAAATAATATGTTAAGTAATTGAACCAGGTTAGCCTTTCCTTACTTCTGCCATACCCTTAAAATGAAAGTCTGGTTTAGCAGTTTTTAGATGAAACACTTATCTATAGTTTTTATTTATAGAAATAAAATTAAATCACAAATGGAAATAAACTATATTTTTTAATTAGTATTTTTAAATCTAGGCATAAAAGGCAGCCTGCAAAAATAGAAAAATTTGGGAACTATTGTCATACGGCAGTTTCTTTTCCTTAGTAATATAGAATTACCTTTTAATTCTGCCGTGTTAATGTAGAACCCATCACAAGCAAAGTGAGTTTTAATTAACTTCAAGACTCTATTTTAAAGTTATAAGAGTCATATAAAAGCTTCTCAAATGGCCGTATTAAATGGCATCTTAGAAATTGTTTAGACTTCTTTGGCAAAAGCTCAACGCAAGGACTGAATGTTATTTTCATTCCTCTTTTTATTCTTCTACACAAGCAAGGTATTAAAATACCACAGAATATGAAATTTACACATAAATTTGCCAAGTGAAGCAATTAAAATTTAAGGCAATCAAAACTATGTGTTATTCCTATTAAGACTAAGGGCTTTCACAGAATATATCACTAAAACTGCAAAAAGTTCTAAACCCCCCTGGGAAATAACTCAGAAAATACACTCTGGGAAAAGATGAAATCACTACTGTTTTAGTGACATTTTCTTCTGTACTTTTAGAACATAGCACAGACTCCATCGTCAAAGATTGTAATTCTAGTACTCAAATTCTAAAAATTTAAACTGTGCCACTGTTTTGAATAATATTTAAATCACGAAGGCATCTCATTGTCACTTATAAGAAAATAAAAATATATTTACATTTACAAGACAGTATTTTACATTCATAAGAGGATTAGACTTCAAAGTAGAAAGTTGATGTTAATAAAAGATTAGGAATTTTGTTCTTGATTAGGAGAAAAATTGTTGTACCTATTCTTTTTATTCTTTCTTTATAGAATTTTCTCTAAGAGTCTGTCATATATGTTTATTATGCTGAAAGTCTCCTTTTTAAGGTCGTGTTGCAGGTGTTATTTAATTGAAATTTTGTTTATTTATAAAACTTTTAATAAAAAAATGTTTTAATTATATTTTATTTATTTATTTATTTATTTTCCTTGAGGCGGAGTTTTGCTCTTGTTGCCCAGGCTGGAATGCAATGGCATGATCTTGGCTCACCACAACCTCGGCCTCGCGGGTTCAAGCAATTCTTCTGCCTCAGCCTCCCGAGTAGCTGGGATTACAGGCATGTGCCACTACACCCGGCTAATTTTTTATTTTTGGTAGAGACGGGGTTTCTCCATGTTGGTCTGGCTGGTCTCGAACTCCCAACCTCAGGTGATCGGCCAGCCTTGGCCTCCCAAAGTGCTGGGGTTACAGGCGTGAGCCACCGCGCCCAGCCGCCAAAGAGATCTTTAAGGTACTCACCATCCATGTCTTCAAAAATCTTCCTGTAGGCCGGGCGCGGTGGGTCATGCCTTTAATCCCAGCACTTTGTGAGGCAGAGACGGGTGGATCACGAGGTCAAGAGATCGAGACCATTCTGGTCAACATGGTGAAACCCCGTCTCTACTAAAAATACAAAAAATTAGCTGGGCATGGTGGCGCGTGCCTGTAATCCCAGCTACTCAGGAGGCTGAGGCAGGAGAATTGCCTGAACCCAGGAGGCAGAGGTTGCGGTGAGCCAAGATCACGCCATTGCACTCCAGCCTGGGTAAGAAAAGCGAAACTCCATCTCAAAAAAAAAAAAAAAAATCTTCCTGTAAACATTGGTGAACTTTTTAACTCTTGAGTTCTGCTTCTCATTATTTACAAGACTTAAATAATCCAACAAGGACTTTGCTATCATTTAGAAGCATTCATTTTTTAATAGATCGTTCAGATGCTTCTGTGTCTCAAAATGTATAATTACATCGCCCTTGAAACCATTTCCACCACAAAGCACCTGATGTGAAAAGCACCTGAAGGCTGATAGACTGGATTGCACGTCCTGGGTGAAGCCGACCTCTCCCCACTGATTCTGAGCAATGCCCACCTACACAGTGGGAGTACCGGGTGGAGCCTCGGGAAGTTTGTGCCCTTTGCAATGGGGGAGGAGCCTGGCCTCTCCTGTTTCTATGTGGTGACCTGGGATTCAATCTGTGATGTAGGAAACCCACTAGCAGGACTCTCTCACTTTGCTGTTATTTTCCCTTTTGCCTTTCCACCCAATAAATTCTGTTCCCCCTCACTCTTCAAAGTGTCTGCATGCCTTTTCCTGGTCCTGTGACAAGAACCTGGTTTTTTCTACAATAGGATGTTACCAAAAGCAGAAGATGTATCATGCAATGTTTTATAATCAACAGGTTTGTCCAAATTTTTGATAAATATGTTGCCCACTCCATTTATGGCCGCGATGGATCACGCTGAGACTACTTAGTGTGTATTGGCAAGTCTTTTATAACATCAAAATTCATGGGGTCTTAAGCACATTCCACATCCTGCGTTTCCGAAGGAGGGCCGGTGATCTGGTTCCTGTAGCCAGGGATGAAGAGGACTGGCCAGCAGGCCTGGTCATGTGCGGTGCAGGCCAGCGGTTGGTTGGGCGCTGGGCTCACCTCCGCACCTGCCTGCCGGTAGGGCAACAGGCTGCGACCTTTCCGTGAAAGGAGAGCGAGGGCTGGGGAGGAAGCCTGAGCCACCGCAGAGACGCAAAATCACCTGGAATCCAGAACTACACCACCGCCAGGGAACTGCGGCCCACAGCCGGCCGGGACGAAGGTGGCGGTGTAGGGCCCAGGGTCCAGGGCTCGGGATCCTGTTCCTTCTTGAAGTTGCTTCGGAGCCGCGAGGGGGCAGATGGGTTGCTCTCGGTTGCTTCACTGGGTTATGTTATAGAAGAGGAAAAGGAAAAAGCTTCTGGCAGTGGAGACGAGGATTTTTTTTGTCAAGTGTTTCACAGGGGTGGCGGGTGTTAAAAGAGAAATCTTTTTTTAAAAAGGTTTTTTCGTGGGATTTTTTTCGGGGGAGTGGGTTTTCAAGAGAATAAATATGTGCTGATCCTCACTCCACACTCTCAGCACTAACTGCCAGGGAGAGGTGACCCATTAATGTTTAATTTAATTGCACCTTCTCTCATGACCTCATTTTTTTTCCCTTTTAATTATGAAATCTTGAAGCCTAAATAAAGGTAGAAAAAAATGGGCACCCACATAACCACCACCTAAATCCAATAAATTGTTAATACTTTGCCAGGTATTCTTTATGTAATTTTTCAATTCGAATTAAAAGGAAATTATAGGCATCATGCTAATTTGCCTCTTTATACTTACAAATGCATATTCAAAAACTAAGGCCATTCTCTTGCATAACCAGTTCCCTTATCCTTTCGCATCAAGTTATAATCATTTCTTAAAATTACTCAACTCCCAAATATTTTCAAATATAAACACAGTCATGTCCCAGGTAACAGATTTCAGTCAATTGGTCAACCATCTACACTGTGGTGGTCCCATAAGATTAAAATGGAGCAGTTGGGCGCGGTGGCTCACGCCTTTAATCCCAGCACTTTGGGAGGCCGAGGTGGGTGGATCACGAGGTCAAGAGATCGAGACTATCCTGGTCAACAAGATGAAACCCCGTCTCTATTAAAAATACAAAAATTAGCTGGGCATGGTGGTGCGCGCCTGTAGTCCCAGCTACTCAGGAGGCTGAGGCAGGAAAATTGCTTGAACCCAGGAGGCGGAGGTTGCGGTGAGCCGAGATCGTGCCATTGCATTCCAGTCTGAGTAACAACAGCAAAACTCCATGTCAAACAAAAAAAAAATAGATTAAAATGGAGCATATATAGAAATTTGATAAGTGGGATATGGCCATTGATATTGGCACTGCAGCTCAAGTAGGGAAAACAATTGATACTCAGTAGTGGTGCTGGAACAGTTGATTTTCCTTATAAAAATACATAAGTGAAAATATATAGGGCCAAGTTCAGTGGTTCATGCCTGTAATCCCAGCATTTTGGGAGGCCGAGGTGGGTGGATCATTTGAGGTCAGGAGTTTGAGACCAGCCTGTCCAACATGGTAAAACACTGTCTCTACTGAAAATACAAAAATTAGCCTGGCACAATGGCAGGTGCCTGTAATTCCAGCTACTTGGGAGGCTGAGGCAGGAGAATTGCTTGAACCTGGGAGGCAGAGGTTGCAGTGAGCCAAGACCATGCCATTGCACTTCAGCCTGGGTGACGAGTGAAACTCTGTCTCAAAAAGGAACAATTAGCTGGGCCTAGTGGCAGGTGCCTGTAATCCCAGCTGCTTAGGAGGTTGAGGCACAAGAATTGCTTAGACCTGGGAAGCTGAGGTTGCAGTGAGCTGAGACTGCACCACTGCACTCCAGCCTGGGTGACACAGTGAGATTCTGTCTCAAAAATATATATACCATCCAAGTTTGCATAATTACACCCTACGATTCACATTTTCTTGTTTCCCAGTTATAGCAATTTTTA